ATTTCCCTCGCGGCCATATTCGTGCATAGAAAGGAGGATCGCAAATATTGTGCAAGGCAGGAACATACAACCAAGCATCCGAGCGACGGACATACCTCAAACAGTTTCCTGCAGATCTTCGGGGGTTGCTTCTCCTCGCTACTGAGCATGAACTTTGCTGAGTAGTAACTGGTTATCTTGAGGAGAGTGGTCTTGACGAGCTCTTTTGTACATCTGGCCCGTTAATTTGGAATTAAGAATTGTGGGAGAGTTTTTGATATCTTTATTGAAAAGCCCCTTACTAGTTTAGGTCCCCTTATAAGTCGGAGTTCGCTCGTAGCTAAAAAGCTTAGAACTCAAAAATCGCTAAATTTTACAGCCAATTTTTGTTTTTGGTGGATCGAAAAACATAAGAGAAATAGCTTGGCGAAAAAATAGCAAAAATTACATCGTATCGCAAAAACTTCCAGGCTTTTGCCTACTATCCTCTAAAACCAGGGTCTACCCTAAAACTCCCCACTAAATGCCACCAACATCAGATCGGTGCCAATCAGCTGAACAGTCCTTCCTTTCCCCCCGCCACCAGTCCAGCCCCCTCCTCTCACCCCGAATGGACGACGGAAGCACCACTTCGGACGCACTTCTGACAGTCAGTCCAACATTGTTGCACACACACACATACCCCTCGTCACCGATCCCTTTTCCCCCCTCCATTCAAATCATTTCTCCCCTGCTCTCTTTTCCCATATACTAACGGGGTTCCTCCCCATTTATGGAGCCGCTCACATAACATTTATGTTTCTTCTCCCCGCCATCAGCTAACCTATTTAGTGTGCAGGGGGCATCTTTTAGCACCTTGGATGGGGGGTGGAGATGGGTGAGGTGCAGCACACTTCGAGTGGAGACCGGTAATTTTCTTTGGTTTCAACATGTCAGCATTATCCGAAACTGAATTTTCTCTTGCATCCGTCTTCCACCTCCTCCTATCAGTTTAAAGTTGCATGCTATCAAACGACCCCAACCTTGACGCCAATGTGTTCTTCAAATGTTTACCGTAGAATGACTGAACGTCGCTGCTCGACCAATGGCTCATTCCACGTGCGGGTCAAGTTAAGGCTTGGCATACATCAAATAGCCAAAGATCCTCGCACGCTTGATATACGTGGAGCACAACCCTGTATTATAGTATATCCGAGCGTAGCGTCTTAGGGACAACCGCTCCCAAAATTTCGCCATTTTCCATATTACGTTAGAATATGCCACTTCTTGAGAAGACGGCACCTGCGATTTTTAACTATACGGTTGATTGAAACCCAAAGACGCAAAAGCATTCTCTTTTTTTTGCTCAAGTTCAAAAATTTCATGCAATACGCTCCATCGCATCTTTCTCCATTTATTTCTGACCTCCCACCCTCATCTAAAACTTTGTCGCCAATTTTTCGAGCCGCTGACCCGGAGTCAAGTTTTTCCATGCGCGCGACTCGCCCGCGGGGGGTAACTGCAAAGTGGCAGTGACGATGGCCTGTAGTAGTGTGGGATTGTAGAGGATAGTGACAGTCAGAAGGGGGCAGAGGAGGGCATGCGGCCACCATTCGCGCCCTTCTCGATGTCCTTGGTTTTGAAGGGAATGGTCCAGAGAAAAGTGAAGGGAAGGATCCTCCTTAGTCCTCCCCCTTCACCATGTTTGTCTTCGCCAACACTTGTCCCACAACACCCCCAAATTGACCGGCCACCCCACTATATGTCTTTCCCGGAGAGGTGGGCGCATTCTTGGGGCGGTTGGTTTGGTTCCCGTAGCGTTGATCTACTTCCACGCACTTCCTTGCGTGCACCACCTTCATTTCAAGGGCTTCTCTATCAGGTGGTTTGGGAGGTGGCGTGACTCGATTGGTATTTCATGACTGTTCCGGTTAAAGCTTGATTTTTCGTGATCTTGAAATCGTTCCCTATTTCCTGCCTAGGATTTTGTGCTTCTTATCTTGAAAAAGTGTGCTTCGGCAGCGATACAAACCCAAATCCTTTTCTGGTTTCAAACATAATTTTCTTGCGGGTCATGTTACCGTGGTTTTTCTTACGACACATCTTCTTCTTTCGAGGTTTTTGGCAGTGACTCAAGCCCAAGGTCATTACCGTCACGGAATGACGGATTATGCAAATTAGGGTCAGAGCTCCGTTTTTCCGGCTTCAAACCGTTTCTCGTGGTTTTACGAGATTTTCCAGGTATGTCTAGAGCTGTCTCTGGTCCAAAAAACTTGTTTCTATTCAATCCTGTGAGAGCATGGCGAAATGAGTTGCAAACAAACTTCGTTTGCATAGAAAATAACTGCATTTCTAGGTACCGACGTTTTGGGGAGCATTTTTCGGGTTGATGTCACTCCGGATGACGCCTTTTCAGCATAGCTTTCATTTACAATTATTGCTAGGTACTACATCAAAATTATCCGTTTCCTCTTTTCATCTTACTCCAAGCGGGTGACTTGACTCCTCCAATATCTCCAAATTCGATGATCGTCATTGAAGGCACGAGCCGACCTAACGGTTTCCTCCCGATCAGCCTACCTGCCTGGTCGTAAATTCCCGAATTCGGAAATCGGCTAAAGAGGCCATAAGGGAATGGGGGAGGAAGAGAAGGAGGGATGGATCAGCCGGGGCATTCGGTATCACAAGCGGGCGAAGAGCTATCATCATGACACATCCATCCTGTCACACAGACAGACACACACACACACACACACACACAACCCAAGGAACGTTTGGAAACCCGCACGCCCCCCCCGCACAGCATTCATGATTACGCGTCAATCCTATCCTCTATTCTCACCTCACACCTGGAAAGGGTTTGGTGGGGATGGTTTCGGTTTTGGTTATTGGCTTTTGGAATTGTGGGTTTTCAAAACTGCTTGAATTTGTCAAGAATTAATTAACACGCTTATATTACCGCCGTTGCCAGCAATCTTTATCAGTTTACCCTGTATCTACTTGTTTTCAAAAGTCCAGTCTACCTCCCTGCTTCCACTATGCTTTCAAAGAGGGTTCAAAATTATAAGTTATATCTCATTAATAATTCCTAATTATTCAAACTTCCCTAAGCCACTAAAACAAATGAAAGCCATCTCCACCCCCTGCAATCACACCACAACTAGCATTCCCCCGCTCCCAATCAACTTCTTTTTAAGTTTCGCCCAGACGCCTCATTGGATACTTCCCTAGTTGGCGCCACTCATTTAGTCACGCTCTTTTCTTTTCCTTAAAGATCTAGATATAGCCCTTCCTTCTCTGCCAATAATTCATAAGTATCGTTTGCCATTCCGTACCTCCGTTCGCTTAAATATCTCCATCCATCCTCTGCTCCGACAACCAAAATTCATAAACATATCACTTGCCATTTCCCTCCTTCCTCAATTCCCTCCCATCCCCAAACAACCTTTTCAAATTCATTGAACACCATCTTGAGTCACCCGGGAGACACCCATACACCGATCGCCATCTCATACGTTCGTACAGCCCCATCGGGGCTGTTTGTGAGGGTAGAGATTTGTCGTGTAGGTGTGCCGTTCGGAGTATCGTTCCGTTGTCGCTACGGCTTTTCCCTCCGGGGGTGGCCGTCCGCGGCTGATGCTTGCGTGCTCACGATCACATTAATGCCGGCGATTAGGGGCCGGAAGGCTGCTTGAATATGTGCGTTAGATAGGTGTAGTAGGGTGGTTGGTCAAAGGGTTGTATATTTTACTGTGATTTCGCTTTTTTATTAAAATGCCGGTTTTATTGAAATCATTTTGCTGTGCTGATCACCACAATATGTTTACCATTAATGCTCGTTTCTTTAGCTCTTTAATAACAAATCTAAATTTTGGCCCTAACAAGGTTTTTGTAAATTCTTGAAGTTTGTCCCAACCACCACCAAAGTCCATACATCGCCTACACCGAACGTCATAAATCCCCACCAAGACCAAAGGCTGGTACCAAAAGCATTCCCGCTGTCCCCCAAACTGACCAACCTTCCTCCCGTATATGCGTACCTAGAGGCTGGCCCCAAAGGCTGTTTGCCGAGTCTTCCTGCGGGCTGTTTGTCTATGTATCTTTGAGACCAACGGAGGTAGGGGCCCCCCTCAGGGTTGGGCCCTAACCGGGGCAGGTTCCGTCTCCAAACCACAGCAGGCACATCACAATAAGGACCTTGTTTCCACTACAAAAGACCATTCGAAGGACAATCCGGTACCCTCTCTACAGCCAAATGATCGCCCTTACCCCCTAAATCGTGCCCAATTTTATGCTTCGCTGTGGGGAGGGGGGAAGCGGTGTCCTTCAGGTGCGGTCGTTTAGGGATTTGGTGGTGGGAGCCGTTTTCTGGGGGTCTAAGAAGTTCGGATGGTAGGCTTAAACTTTTTCAGGGTGTGTGCGGGAGTTTTGTGAAAAACCTGCTAACTTTTAAAACTTATTTTACAATAGCCAAGAACATTTTGCTGTTTTTCTAAAAATTTATTTACTTTTTGTAATTACATTTTTTCCGATATTTGGTGGCACTTGTTGTAGGCCTATTAACTTTCTATTAAAATACTGGTTTTTATTGAACTAAAACCAATATTTAATCGTCTTTACGTTTTTCGAGCGTTTCTGAAGCCAATAGCTTAATTGCGCATCGTTTGGCTACGCTTCGTTTTTTCTAAATCACATTCGAATTATGTACGTAACAATTTCAAGCATATAACAATACAACAACAATTTTTAATAATTCCATTTTACCAAATAGTTGGGTACGACTGAATATACACTATGACTATGCACTCGCCCATATTACAGGTTTTAAGTGGAAATGTACAAAATAACGGAATACAAAACTTTTAAAACAACGTTTTCTGCTCGATTTGCAGTGTCATCGAACGTCTCTGCTTCAAATTTCTGATACCTCTTCCTTCTACCTTCTACTTCCTATTCTTGCACTGTATATTTTGATAGCCTGCTTGCGCGTTTCAAAAAATAAAACAACAAAGTTGTTTTTCCAACAATTTTCAGCGCTTCCAATGCCCACTGTTCTGGTGCCATTTTTTATCAAAACGGACCAGCCTAACCAACCAGAACAATAAACCGCCGGCACCCGCCTTGGCTGCCGTTTTCCAGGAGATTCGCCCAGTTGCGTCAACCCTCAATAAATGGCATACTAGGGGCTAGAGGGGGCTGTGGGGTGCGATAAGCCTTCTTCCCCCCACCCTCTTTTGCCTCTTCTTCTACTCCTCGATAACCCATCCCCCTATCATAAATTCCGCATTCTTTCTGCTCATTGATTTTCGACGATCTCTCTAAATAATTTCTCTAAATTCCGTTGTGTCAGCTCGTGCTCAAACTCCTGAATTCAGGTATATTTTTGAAACCTCATCTCCGAAGAGAGTGGCATACTGGCGCCGTACACGCAAACCATGCGTTCGTTTTTTTGAAGATCAAATTTCAATATGAAAGCGTAAATTTAAAATATTTTTTTAGCAGCTGGCTCGCCAGAGCTACGGCCAGAATACGTTGACGGGCTGAAGGCACTTTTTTCGGTGCTCGACACGCAGCGAAAGGGGACAGTTTCTTACGAGACGGTGGGTTAATTTAATAGAAAAACGTTGAAATTGCAAAATTAAAATACGGTGATCATAGTCACGATTAAGTAAAAATAACTATAGTTCGTTAATTAAGTAAATTTTTAATTTTATGAATAATTCATCAAAATTAGTCTCCTTCAATTGCTCAAGTAAAACAAATCTTTGATATTAACATGCTGTTTTAATTTACATTTGAAGTTTAATCGAAATCAAAATGATGTTTCAATAACCCTCTAAGAAGATCATGCTCCGCTCTGTTTGTCTGTATCTTAGTGTGTATTCATGACTAGTTCTCCTGCTCCTCCCGCCCTGGATCGTGGAAACGAGCCAGGAAATCCTTCTTCGGACTCGGCTCGCTTTGAGCTGCAGCTCAGATTGCATCTTCTTCTTCTTCCTCTTCTTCTCCTCCTCCCCCCCACCTCATGCTCAACCCCCGCAGCTCACACAATTAGACGACCAGTCCTTTTTCCGGCCCGCCAGTCCCCCTTCTCCTCCCGATTGTCCTCTTCTTCCCACCCTATTATACCCCCATTATACCATTTCCACCCTGGAGTAGCGGTTGGTTATTATTGTTGTTTATTTTTATAATTTTTTGGATTTTTAGCCAGAAACCAGATCCTTGGGATAAACCTATCTTTTGGATCACCGCCTATGCCCGCCAATTCAAGCCTCATTTGCATAACACTAAGAAAAAGTTTGATTAGTTGATGAAACACTATTTTTTATTTAATAAAACTAGTCCAAACAGGTCCCAAATTTGACGTCGACGTTGACGTTGAGACAATTCTTTTTCCTGCTATTTTTTAAGGGAAAAAATAGGATATAATCTATTTGACAAATATGAAACATAATAAATTAAGTTCATGGTATAAGCATTTAACGCATAGTTGAAATAATATTAATCGGGGTTTTTTAGCTTTGTGCCCGGCTCTGTGAACTCCCACGCCCAGCCCTTCCGCCAACCTTTTTAAGCTGTATTGGAAAAGTTACGCCGCTTGACGGGTAAGTCGTGCGCATTTTCTAAAATAAAAATTATATACTTATATGATACTTTACATTATATAACGCTTGGGTTGTGGACCTATATTTTCCAGGCAAATCTCCTTCGAACGTTTCCTATCTGCCGTAAAACTCTCACTACGCGATCAAGAAATCAACAACAACAACAACGGCTCAATGAGCAATTTGTATCGGGTGCAGAGCGAGGGGCGGTTGGCTCAGGGGTTAGTAAAAATATATATTATGACTTACGTATGCTTTTTAGAACTCACCAACCCAAAAGGTCACCACCTACAATGGGCGTAAATGGGTTGGATCAAAGAAGGGTCATCTACGCATCAAATCCCAATCTACGCTCATCGCCAAATTATGAAAATATGTTGTATGGACAAGTGCAAATGCGCCCGAAGAAGGTTTTTCGGTTTTTAAGTTGAAGTTCTGACCCCGTTTTAGACGACAGTTCGTGCTCAAAAAGAGGAGCATCGTCTTCGGCATCCCCTGCCACCGCCTGGTCAGCAAAAAATTAGCGTGCCGGGCAGACGACCAATGTCTACGAATAGTTATAATAGTATTGGTAAGCATCTTTGATTATTCTTTCAACTGTCTTACTCATCGAAATCCTCTTTTTGCCGTGGAATCCAACGAAATTCGCTCCTGCGTAATATTCTGACTTTTTCATCACCTATTCCCCATCCCCAATTGCAATAAAACTACAATTTTTGTTATGTCACTCATGCTCCTTTTTCAGCGTCTTCTGGCATGGAAAATATCGTGTGGCGGAATTCAGTGATGTCCAGCTCAAATTCGGACTCAACCAGGCGGAACACAATTTGCGACGAGGAGGCATCCCCGAGAATTGTAGGCTTTTGCGGGGCGGAATACCGGAATTTCTGGCCCATAGCTCGGGTCTTGCGTGGATTGCATAGCTTTTAAGCTAAACCACCAGTTCCGTTTGTATGCAGTGGAAAAAGCTATTAACTATTTTGCTTTATCAACCAAAAAATCAAAGTACACAAATACAAAACATATGGCTGGCCAATAACGCCCCCGGAGCACGGGCTTTTTAATACTTTTCTCGTAGCAGGAGAATTGCTGGTGTGCAATTTTGAAGTCCTGTGAGGTACTTAGGAGTAGATGATGTTCATGCCGATGTCCTAGAATTTGGGATTATTTTGGGTATTTTTAGGTATTGTTATAGAATCGGGGGGGCTGGTATGAGCATATTTCCGGTGGATATAGGATGTCGTACTGTAGGGAAATTGGAGAGAATGGGTGTAACGGAAATTGGTGTATTTTTGAGGGATCATGGGGTTGAGAAATTGGTGGACGGAAATCAGAAAATACCGAATTCTGGTTATGAAATCTAGGAACTGGGTGTTTATGTTTGAGCCCGATTCTCATCATTTAGTTCGCGTAGCTCTAGGTTCTACTAGTATAGCTTCAAGATTCAGCTTTGTTGACAACTCTTCCACCCTTATCAATTTCAAAATTACTCACCTCGGGTGTGAACTCATACGAGCGCTTTCCGGGCCGGAAGTGTCCACGGCCAAGGGCAAGACTCCGCTTTCCGGGCCGGAACGAAGCTCGTCCAAGGGCGAGACTCCGCTTTCCAGGCCGAGAAACCCATACGCCCAAGGGCTACCGAACGCTTTCCCGGCCTGTAACTCTCAGTTAAATTTTCCCATCTTTTTACGACAAAAAGTGACGATCCAAATCGTACCTGAACGAAGCACGGCCAAGGGCGAGGCTCCGCTTTCCGGGCCTGAACCCCATCCGGCCGAGGGCCATCGTCCTCTTGCCCATATCGTGCTCGCTCAGCTCGGGCTCATCGTCGAGCTCGGCCATCTCAGCAAGAACATCCCCGAATCGACGGCCAGTTCCCCAAGACTGGCTCAGCCACCTCAACAACGGCTCGTTTCATGGCCAACAGGATCACTGGGGTCACCTAGGAGCCCGGGGAGATGGTATTGTTACGGAATGTGAACAATACTTTAATAACTTAATCGGGGTTATGCTAATTAGCGCTGGCTTTCATGTTATAAAAATTAATATTTTACGCTGTAAATTAGAAGCTAAAAAGCTAATTTTCATTTCATCATTAATAGTATAGTATTTTTAGGGAATACGGACCAGACTTGAATAAGCTAGTCAGTTAGCTTTAATACAGTTGATTTGTTTAAATCTTTAAAATTCAAAAACAGCAATAGTTCGTTTTTACAATTAAAACCCTGATTTATGCTGAATTGAGTATATATAAATCACAAATTTTGGGCGCCGATTAGCTTCTGCTGAGATTCTGTCGAAACCAGCATTGAATTGAAATCCAAAATTTCTATTTTTTCGGATATAAATATTCGGTTCTTTAGGATTCGCGGGGGAAGTATTCCTGGGGGGAAACCAAATTTTTTTCGGTATAGGCCTAGATTTTTTTATAAATTGCGGATGCGTTTCTAAATTGTTTTTAACTATTCCTGAGCATAAAAACTACACACATTTTAACCAAAAAAATTTAAAAAAATAAAAATTGGGTCGAACAATCCTATAGAACCTTTAGGATTCGCAGGGGGGGAAAGACCCAAAATGACCAAATTTTCGACTTTTTCAAACATTTTTCTAAATTTTTCTGAAAGTTATTCTGCTTTAAATATAGTTAAAACTTACTAAAAACAATTCGAAAACACTTTATATTTGATTACTAGGTCACCCGGGACCACCAGGAAAAAAATTGGTTTCCCCCCCCGGGAATACTTTCCCCCGGGAATACTTTCCCCCGGGAATCCTAAAGAACCAAATATTCTTATCCAGATAACCTGACAAAAGCTCTGATTGATAGGTCAAGCTCCGTATCCCCTATCTAATCTGAATATTCTCTACCCTACAGTAACCACAAAACTAAATACATACCTCCTGCTCGATGGGCACCGCCAAACATAATCCAATGCCGACGGCGCATAGTACGGCTATAGAAGCCGAGCGCATCGTTGCGAATGAATCTGGTAACCGCTCACAGCCACTTTTATAGCAAACCCCCCACCCTACTGGGATACGGTAGCTCGGGGGCCCACCCCTCCAGGGGCGGGCTTTCGATTTTGTATGCCCAATTTCCGTATTTGCCCGCCGTCGGATTCCTGACGTGCCCAACGATGGCGAGGGCAGCTGACGGGAAATTGACAATTATCTCCCTGTCTCTTTCTAGACACCCACTATCGGTGCGCTTCAGTACAATCAAAAATTGAAGCGTTTTTGTGATGAGTAGAGAGCGGCGGGATTTCGGGGGCCCGGTACTTTGGTACTGAAGTCGTGACATTGCCTAGGGATTGTGAAATAGGAGATGTATGGATAAAGGATGTTGTATGCTGTCATATAAAATTGTGGGTAGGCTAATAATACAGCGGGGCGATAAAATGTCCTAAAGGTCCGGAAATCATTGCACGTAACCTGACAAGTAGCAAGTGCCCAAAAACTCGAGTATTGCGCTGCTCCGGCTATTTTGCTAAAAAGACGTCAGCCTCTCCTCAAAAATTTAAAAATTGTTCGTTGTCCAATTTTAATGATCCGAACATTTATCGATATCTACTTCTTAAGGGCTATCGATTGGTTTTATAGGTATTACATTCAAATTTCTTTAGGTAGGGATAATTTGCGAAAGAGCTTTTTCGCAATGTTAGGGCGATCTCGAGTCGTTCCTTATCTCGGTCCTCCTCGACATCAGAAATTGCCTCCGAAAACAGTTCAAGTTGAGAGCTACAAAAAGAAATATCTCATTCTCAGGATCGAGCTAACGACGATTTTAGCGAGCAAATATTACGTCTGAATTATCCAGCTTCGGCTTAAAAACTGCACCAGTTGGGACTAGAAACCCCGGTCATCAGAATTTGCGCCATACCTATTTTTGCTGGAGAACTCCTCGTCGCGGGTCTTTTCCTCATATTTAGCCTTTTTTATCATCTTCGATTTTACATTTTCAGGCAAAACTCGTCGGCCTACATGGCGAAGAAGAAGAACTAATCCGACGTGGTCTCGAAACCGCTAACCGTCTAGCCGAATGGTATAAAGAACGGAAAGAAACCATCGAGCGGCGTCAACGACTCCTCGAAAAAGGCTGCGTCTCACTGGTTAGCCATTTTCCAATTCCCTATTTGCTTGGATATCTTACGTCAACCCCATTCTCTCAAGACCACACGCCGCGTTTTTGCTGCAAAATTTTGTAGCGTTATTCCTGGTGATGATTGGCGAAGAAACACTTGGCGTCATACCAATAATATTTGGAGGCCGGTGGACCTACGCGCTTGAGACTGTGGCTCGATCAGAAAACGGGAGCGGGCCAAGCGGAAATTAGCGATTATCGTTCGGAGTAGTGCTGGTTGTTTAGGATACGGCCGTCCACGAACAGAAATTGAACTTCCTGAGGGCGCACGTCACAGAATTGAATCGAAGGATGGTGGCGTTGATGGAGACGAGTGAGAAGGGTTTCCCCACACATGTTAATTTGAATAAGGTATGGTTAAAAGGCCGTCCGCGAGCCACCCGACCTGTTCCCATTATGCCTTGGCACAGTTTTTTTTCGACCCCATTTTTTTGATGCCATCGGAAAGAACATGTTCGAATTAGTAGGGCTGCATAGTTTTGAAAGTTCAAAAAGTTTATTTTGATGGTTTAAATGGGTGTCAAAGTTGCCGACCACGAAAAACTATCTTGGAAGTTACTGAGCAGAATTGGCTGAAAATTTAGGAATGTACCTATTTTGAGCTGGGGATCATTTCTCTAATACATTGCGAAGCCTGAAAATGACCGGAACATGGTTAAATAGCGTACTAGAAACAGTTTTTCGGGATTTGCGACTATGCGGGCGATCGAGCGCCACTCATACGTGGTAGGAAAAGATGCGCGACATTTTTCTGCGTCGAAAGACGTGTCCATTATGCGGCGCTCGATCGCCCGCATATCTTAAAAAACGCGATTATTACGCCGAAAATGGCGATTATATAGGAAAAATTTTTAGGGACATATGCCACAACCTCACGACGACCAGCTCGTCTGGCTGCATCGGCAGAATCAATTGCTGAGTGGTGAAGTGACCGAGAAGAACAAGCAGATTGAAGAGATGAAGCGCGCGAGCCAGAATTTATCTCAGATGTCGTTGAATGGCCATCGGCATTCTGCGATGCATAGTCAACGGTAGTTTATTTACTTATAAAAATAACTACTCTTTCTAACGCTATTTATTGAATTTATAAGAGATTTAAAATGTAAAGGCTTATCCGTTGAATTCATTTAAAATTTTCTGGTTCAAAGGCCCAACAATAGATTCACGATGCCGAATTCCCATAAGCGTCATTTACATTGTATGAAAGAATATTGTCAGTTTCTCGAGCATTTTATGTTACCGGAAATGATGCATCGCTAGTCAAATTTTGCCTTAGCGAAATTTCAGTGCAATATAATTAGGTAAATTTGGCTTTAATTGCGCGCATTGAAATTTGTTGCTAACGATTTCACAATCAGAAACATTCTTCCAATATTTATCAAACTTTTTCAGGCCAACTCCAGTCCAAGTTCGCCCATCAGCATTTGTCCGCCCAGCTGCGCATTCCGTGTCCCCACACCAAACCGTGTCGGCTTCACCTGTAAAAATCTATGACACTCTCATGTGATCCTCCCCCCAAAACTTTTATTTACCCTCCCCGTCCATTCCATTCCCATGCCTTTTAACAAATAATTGAATCGATCCCCCGGCCAGCACAAATTACTGCCTTTTATCATAGTAATAAATATGTATCAAGGTTTCTGTACAAAATGGCATTTAATAACAAGCATACGGCCGATGGCTGGCCTTGAGGCCGCTAGGGCCCGCACCCTATAGCCTGCCCCAGCCACCATATCCGTTGTTTGGCCCTATGCCAATGTGGTAGGGCCCTCATGCGGGCCCCATTCCCCCTAGGGGATGCTTAGATTAATATTGGTTGTGTCTGGCGGCCCTCCCCGTGTAAACAACGCACCATTTTTAGCCGAAAAATTTGAAGCTTTGCCCACGTTCTTTATTTTTAAGTTTATATAATGATAAATATGTATTTAAGCAATTAGCATGTTAAAGTTAGGTTTTGACTTATATATTGCTGTGAAATCAGGATTTTTCACGTATTCGGACGTCTTATACAAACTGCCAGCGTAATAATGTTAAGGTTTTTGGCTTAAAAAGCTGGCTTTGAATTAAGATTTTATTGCATAAGTTTAAACAATTTTCAGATACAAATCAGACATGGAAGCAAGCGTTACGATAGTGTCTTCAAGACATTCAATCAGCAAACTTTAGAATAAGTTTAGATAAATGAATATTAAAGAATATAAACTAAACTATTACAAAGCTTTTTTACAGTACTTCCATGACATTTTCCACATATGTTCAGTCCTTTTACACAAACGTACTCAACCGATCATACCACCCAGAAATTAGCTGCAAAGTGGTTGTTCGTAATTTGTGCCAAACACTTACATTACTCATTCCCGGGTCTGGTTTGGCCCTTTTCTATCCTTTTGCGTGAGAAGAGGGCCACCTCGACGACCGAGTGCCAGGTGTCACTAGTTGCCAGCCCCACTGGTCCATTACTGCCTCGGCTAACAATTGGTCCCTCGAGGGCCCCCCTTTCCTGGAGGACCCCTATGGACCATCAAGTATTTTCAGTATAAACACCGTTCGGTTGTGATGCTTGCTAGAAGAAAATCGGTTTTTGATACCCTTAAAGGATCATTTTAAATGGCATCTGTAGATCGGTATTTTTAAGATATTTCGATTCATAAGGAGAGTCCTAAAAATCACCCCTGTGACTGCTTGTAGAATTTTTTAGATTTTTACGCTCTAGAGATCGATAAACGGCTAAAAAATAAGCGGTTGTATTTTTACATCAGAAATCTTGAGCCGACTTTTTATCACCAAAAACCGTGGAGTGAAAAACGTTGTTTGATAGGACATCTACATGTTCTGTGCCGTTTTTAACGCATTTTTTGCGCGTGTGTGCGCTTTTTAAGAAAACTTTTATTATCGAGAGAAGACTAAATAATTTTGGAAAACAGACCCCGTCAGGTTTTTGACTTTTTCAGAGCTTTTAAAAGATCTAGAAATCATGCCAATCCGAGTTTAGAACCTAGAACTGTTTCAGGACATCATGTAACCCCCTTTTTCAATTTTCAAGCTTGTTTTTTGTCAATTTCCGTGTCCTCCGCCATATTGATGTCCACCAAATCTCTATCTCCCTCTCTCCAATGAAGAACACGTGGGCCCATTAGGACCCCCAATCGAAAAAGCTGCCACCTCCCCCCCTGGCTAGCCACTTCCACACCACCATGCATCTCTTTGCAAAACCCTGGTGTGTAGCATTAGCTGTGTGAAAATGCGTATGTTTCGGGGATACGAGCAAGAGCTCGAGACTCTCCCCCGGTTTCCGAGCCTGACTGTCTTTTTTGAATGGCCCTTTTGCCGCTGGGTGGGCCCTTTTGGTTGGACAACTGCTCCCTTTTGGCCCGTTTGTGGATGCTCCTTTCCTTACTCTTTTTCTCCACGTACGACACTGACTCGGGTGGTGCTCCTTCCTGGCTGCTATGCAATGGCTGGGTTATGTTCATCTTTCAACTACTCGTTCATGTCTGGGTGATAGGGTTGGGTGGTTTTGGTTTGAGATACCGTATTTCCTTTAAGAAAAGTTTGTGCTATTTGCCCAAAAAAAATAAAAAAATATACGCTTTCCCGTTGTTAAAAGAGTGATGATGGAAGTGATCAAAATAATCCGTTTTACTAAAATTTTTCCGTATTTTCTGCGTTTCAAAAAAAGAAAAAACCCGCTAATAAAATCCTTCCTATCAGGTCAAATCAATAAATCATGGAAACCACGGCTAATTCTAGAGGTAATAAGAGATTTGTAGCGATTTTTGTGAGTAGTCCGGTGAGACAGCACGTCATTTTGTTTGGACAGCCGGTTAAAAATAGCTTTTCAACAGTTAAACCGATTTTTAAGCCCCAAAATTATCACAAATTACAAAAAAATTTACGCATTACCCGTTTTACCCAAGGTTTTCAATCAATAACAAACCCACCTTTGCAGAAATCAGCAACATCAAAACATTCACAACCACTTTTCCATCCCCACCCGTCATACTCCTCGCCTTTTCCACCCCTCTACTCTTCCATGCCATAACTAGCCCAACTCTCCTTTCCCCCTCATGTTTTCCCTCCAGTTATAGGCTATTATGTTGTCGACGAAAAAAGTGAAAACACCAACCCGGCCATCGATTCGCAAGCCCCCCGAAATTTCAGATGTCCTCGCCGGTGGAGGAAGAGCCGCCCGAACAGCCAAGCACCTCATTTCAACCACAAGATATTGAATCCAGTCAGCAGCCGAAGAAAGGGATCCTTAAACGGCCGGCCACTAAAGCGGATAACCCGGAAAAAAAAGAGTCGGTGGGTGCGAGAGGTCGAATTGCGTACATATCCCATTAATTTTGAATTTTTATTTGGCGTGCATTCCAAATTCGCCTTCATTGTTGGATAGAAAATCTTTAAAGAGATAGGGGCGGCATGAGTCAATCGATTACGCGCGGGAATGAAAATGTCTCTGCGCCTCTCCCTTGGGCACCTTCTCTCGCCGCTGCATCTGTTGAACCCCCCTCCCCCAAGGGGGGTTCAACAGATGCCGTCCTCATCTCTAGAAGCAAGATTTTTTTTCTGCCCCACCGGAAGGAACAATAATTTCCACGACTGGGATTGGGATGGTAAAACTTTAGCAAGTAGCTATCCTATATTAGCGTTATGAACTGCATTCAGTGAAACGAACATTCGGCCCAATAGAATAGAAACCACAACATATACCCGGGATTGCATTTACAATATATTGTGCATCGTAAAGCTTAATCCGTTTTCAGAATATCCCCGTATGGAGCGGATATCGAAAATCACCAGATCGATTTCCAAACAAAGCCGAGACACGAATACCAAAGCTCTCTGTGACCTGGTGGGAGAAAAATGCTGTGGCGATTTTGGAGACACCAGCGATGAGAATGGAACGGATTCCGATCAGAATATGATGAATGATTTGGGGAATGGGAGAGGGAAAGAGTAGGTTGTAGCCGCAAAACTAAAATGGTTGCTTCTAGTAAGCTTCGCCAAACTGCAATACTTGACTCGGATGATGGAGATGAGGGGCCACCGCCTGAGCCGACTAGCTCCGAAAAGAAAGAAGAAATTATTGAAGAAGAGGATGAGGATACGGAAGAAGATCAAAATCAAAGGGTTCTAAAAAATAGTGATAAAGTTAAATAAATCTATTCAGCTTGAAACGATGTCGGTTGCAAGCTCGACTGCAAGTGGTGGATCTTCGATAGTTGGTAGATGGTGGGTAGCGAAAGATACAAGGTATACAATTCTCTACATTTCCTAAAGTCCAATAAGATATGTGCCGCATTGCGTGAAAAGGGGCTGTAAACATTCTGGACATGATCATCCTGAAGAATACCTTACACCGACTCAACGGAAGGCCAAAGAAATTTCCGATTTAAAAAAGGAATTGCAAAATGTATCGAGTGAGAGGGATGAAAAAGAACGTCATCTACAGGAATTAAGGAGCAGGATGGATGAGGTGAGGCTAGAAAACAGAAAACGATTGGTATTTGTAGATTGAAAGTTTACGGGATTCAAATGCGGTGTTGACAGAGAGTCGAACGAGTGCACAGAGTCAAGAGATCGGCCAATTTGAAAAGGAGAGGAAAGCTATTGAGAGAAGACATGCCGTTCGGGTGAATCAATTGGTTCATGAGACGATGCAGGCCAGGTATGGATTATGCTAATTTATTTTATTAGCATAGAATTCCAATCTAGACCAGACCGCTAATTGCCAATTTATAAATTTTGCCAAAAGCGCAGGGGTTGAAGGATATTTTGTAATCTAAAAAATCTAAAAATTTTCCGTAATTAAATTAAATTTAAATAGAATTTTAGGACTGAAAACGGCTCTTGCTATTATTCGTAAAACCGGTCTGCCGTAATTTTATCAAATTAGCATGCGAGTAGAATACTAAAGTTGAAGTTCATGGCCGCACTTGGCTGAATATTTTTCAAATAATTTAATTTAAATTTGGTGGAAATTTGGAAGGCCCCATTTTACTGAATATTTTGGCCGTAATTAAGTCAAATTTTGTGGAAGTAGAAAGCTAAGGAATGCATTCGTTTGCTAAAACTAAAGGCAGAAGCCTGGTGCGCGGTCATAATTCTGGTGTCGAGCAACAGATGTATAGGGAGGAGAACGCGAAACTGGCGGTCCGCATAAAGGGACTCGAGGATCGTTACGTGAAAACGAGCCGAGACGAGGGCACGATGACAGATGTGAGCAGCGTGGAAAGCCCCTACACCCACATTGCAATCATGCCTGACGCTTCCGGTACGCAACAGTTTACATATAATTGTACCGATCTTCATACCAACCGATACCGACTTAGTATTCTGATTTTTTACATAGGTTTGAATAATTAAACATCTTATTTGAATAATTACGCAAAATGGTTCAAACTTACAATCAAATAAAAAAAATTGATAGAAAATTCTGACCCCTCCCCCACCAGTTAGAAAAAATAAAACGGTCTAGGTTAAATGGAAAAATACGGTTTTTTATAATTAAAATGCGTCAATTTCTATTTTTTTTCTGAACTCCCCGTATTTCCAGGAACTAATCTACACACCGTTCTTTCGCTTCCCGACATGAACAACCCTAAAATCGCAATATCAAACCCCAATTCTCCGATGAACTCGGCAGACGGAAGTCGACAACCGATGTACATGTCACCAGAAGCCGTCACTGCCATGCAGGTATTTTCAGGCCCCTCATGTACGGCTAAATCGCTTTGCAGGCTTATAAGAATGAAGCCTTCATTTGGCGCAACAAAGCAGCACAACTGGAGATTATTATTCGCGATCAACTGATCCGATCCCCGATTTCGGTAGGGGTGAGAAGCCTAGTTTGTAAATTTTGTTTTTAGGAAACCGCAGCCGGCCAGGAAATTGAAAAATTACGACGTGAATGTCAGAGACTACGGGATCTTTTAAATGAACGAGAAGGTGGTATGATTGATTCGGGAATTGATGCTCCACCATCACCACAAAGAGAGGGACAGGCAGTCTAATTGCGTAAGTAGCCTTAAAAATATTTCAGATGCACAGCCAAAATGTGTCCGGGGAATGCACATTAGCAAATTGCATTGAGCGCAAGAAGAACTTAATTGATGAAAATAATGCGTTGATCGAGACGGTAAATATAGCGTTTCCCAGACGATAAAATTTTTTCTGTTTAGAATGAGGAAATGACGCTTCGTATCAGTGAGCTTGAGGAGGATATAGCCGCTTTGAGAAAAGAGTTGGAAACGTTTGAAGAGGATTGTTTGAAGAAGGATCAAAAGGTGGGTTTTAACGAACGTTATTTTCAGATTTTGTTTAAGGTGGAACAATTCCAAAAAGAAGCCGATTCGAAGTCAGCTGAGACGGCAGCTGCGACCCTTGTCATTACTAGGCTACAAACCGAAGCCAAAACAATGCAAAAAGCTATTTCCTACATGGAAGAGAGAATGACGGCTTATCAGAATGTTATACTCGATCATGGGCTTGTCGTTCAAGATGAAGAAACACATAATTGGAGGAGAGGATTTTCAAATCCAAAGTATGCCGGCCTCATCGTTATTTATATTTTTATAGGTACATAACCGCTAATTCCAAAAAAGCTCAAACCACCCTTACTTCCGATGCACTTAACAAACACATGGACGAATTCGACAGTGTACAACAAAAATTAAAGGTAAGCCTCCTTTTTAATATTGTATGAATTCACGAACCTAGAGCCTCCACGAAGAGTTCTCCGCCAAACGCACCGACCTCTCCGATCGTTTCTCAGAAATTGAGGCCAACTTGCTGACAAAGACGAAATTGGTGGAGACGCTGACGAAACAACTTGAAGATGTTAGAAAAGATCAAAGACTCGCTTTAGATCAACACCAAGTGGTATGTGTGCCATAAAACGCTAATCAAAGCAATTCAGGAGCGCAATAACTACAAAAAGTCGCTGAAAGAAATTGGCAAAATTGCTGAGAGGGTCCCAGGCTTGGAAACGCAAATTGAACAACTCGAAAAGGTAGGGTTTCCAATTCCATCAAAACTCAATTTTTATAGGAGAAGAGTGAATTCGACTTCAAATTCAAAGAAGCCCAGGAAAATTACGAAAAGGGATTGGAAGATGCCCTCTCGGAGTCCCTGAGAAAATATCAAGAACAAAGCCATTATTGGAAGGACAAATGTGTATACTACGATAACACGATTACGAAATTGAGGGTAAGCTCTGAGAATTTGGTAAAAATGTTTATTTAGAATGAGATCGAGGCGATGAATAAGGACAAAGAAGAGCTGAGGTTGAAGGCAAAAATGAATAAGGCTGATTTGGAGCATCGTTTAGCTAGCAGTATTGAGCATGCATCACAGATGCATCACAAGGTGAGCAACGATAACGCTCTGCTTAGTTTTTAAAGATGAGCAAACCAAAGCGGGATGTCGAAGTAGAGGCAAAGCCTAGACAATCTAACAAGTATGTTGCTTGCCGCCCATATGCGAAAGAAAAGGGAACTCACATTGAGAAGGTAACGTTAAGTTTGTAAAGCTATATATTGCTTTATAGGGAGAATTGTTCGATGAGCGTGAAGAACGCTTAAAGCTCTGCCAAGGAGAATTGAGCACGACTAGACGGCAAGTCCAAACACTGCAGCAAAAACTATTGAATTACATGAAAGAAAAGGTATCTAAAGCAAAGTTTCTATCAACTTTTTTAGAATGAAAAATCTCGAACACGGGCAAAAATCCCAGGCGTGTTGAGCAAAGAATCGGAAATCAACGACGAAAATAAGGAACAGCGCCAAACTAATGGGTCTGAGGCGGCAAAGAAGGATGATGGGACATCTAATGACTGTTCTCAAATATCTCATAAAGATGATGAGATTTTTAAATTAAACCGAGAAAAGGATCGACTGCATGAAAAGGTACGTTTCATCAGACCGGGTATTTATTATACAATCGCTAGATCGGCGAGGTTGAAGAGGAGAAAAATCGGTTGGTGAAAGAAGAAAGAGCACGAATTCAGCAGCTCGTTGCCGAATTTGATAATGTTAGGAATGAATTGGACCAGGTATCAGGCCAACCATATTAAACGCTATATTTTTTTAGGAAATTTGCCGATATGAATCTGAACGGAAATGGCTCAAAAGTCGCATCGAAAATTTAGAAAAAGCCAATACCGAACTAGAAAAGCTCAACGAAAAATATGGTATGCATTACTAAGCCGTGCCGCACTCTCGTTTAGCTACCCCAAGCCCTGTAGCTGCTGTAAAGGCGCCCACGAAAGAAGAAAAAATGAAAGCAATGAGGGAGGAGAAGATTCGAAGGACATTTTCTGACACGGATCTTATTAGCGATCTCGAGGAATGTGAGGTGGCACAACTAAAAGAGAAGGTTGCCAGTCTCAACAGGTTTTTTTAATCATTTTTCCTAATTATGGGGCGTATAGGGAAATGCTAAAAGTTCATGGAACGATTGTTAAAACAGCTATGGCAGCAAAAGAGGCTACAAAGAATACCGGAGCTGACCAAGGGCGGATTGGCTCTGCTTTCAATACATTGGTGGAAGATATTAATATGGTTGGTATCTTAGAGGTGCTATAATCGATAAATTTAGGTAAAAGGTGATCTCGAAAAGGTTCTGGTACGCATCACCCCCGAAACTGCGACTACCATACCCGAAGAACCCAAACAACAAATCCTCAAAACCGCATCAACTAATGATGCTGCCAATTCGGTAAGTAAACGTCCCTATCCTTACCTAGATTTCCATCTAATAAAAACAACATAAATCATTACCCTCCCCATAATTTTTCCAGATTGCCGAATCCCTTTAATCACAAAATTAGCAATGTAAGCATTTGCTAAGTACTGTCTCAATCCTTTTGCACGCTAACGGTTGATCCATGCGCGTGCGAATGCTATTTTCACTCAAAAATGGATTCGAAAACTCGGTTCGGCTGAGCCAAGAAGATTTAATCTACATATTTCTCTTCCTGGACCAATCAATTCTTCAGGGTCTACTGGAGAAGGTTATATATGAATGGGATGCCGAAAATTCTACAAGTCTCGCCAAAGATTTGGCTAGGTCCAGATCTGAACGTCAATTTTTAAAAGTAAGATGAAAGACCGTAAATGCTGACAATGGATTCAGTTACAAAATGAGCGACTTCACTTGGAACTCGCCCGCTCAAATAATGAATTGGAGATTCTGAGGAAGGAACCGCTGAATTCGACACCGGCTGATCCAGAAACTGCAAAAATGAAACGAAGCAAAAGTAATGTGGAGCTGGCTGAAGCATCGGCCGAGAAAAAGGAGTGCAAACAGTAGGTTATGCGATTATTATTGATTTTCTCATGTTTCAGATGGCAAAATAAGGCGGGTACTCTATTCCGGGAAGTCCATAGAATGCGTCAGGACTATACTGATGCATTAAAGGATAGGAGAGAGCTAAAGGTATGTTTAAACCTAAATACTTCAGAGAAAAATTTTAGATTCAATTAGCGATGATTCGCGGTGAACTTGAATTGACAAGGATACAATTAGCGGAACAACAAAGGTAGATTTCTCTTGGTTCATTAGACTTGAAAATTTTAGAAGAAGCCCCACATCTCTTCTTTCCCATTCATTCATAATGAACCGTGACGGACGGGAAATGATAAAGGAAATGAGCGTGCCAGTCCATCTCGGAAATTCCGACTTCAAACTGACTGGAAAGCACACACCAACCGGAAGCCAGGTCAGAAAATTGAGCTGCCAAAGAATTAGCTTTCATAGATCTTGGTGGAAGCGTCAGAGCCCGAGCCCAGTGTTGCTCCGGTGAAAGCTGATCGTGAAAGTCGTAGTTCTGTGGTTGAACGAGTTTCTTTCAAAATTCGCATGCCATCAAGCAATGAAAGGGCGACGGAAGAGACCAAGAAAACACGGTATTCAAATTCTGATGGGTATTTATCGCGGGTTTAGGCAACGAAGATCAGAATCTGCTCACGCTACATTGGCCAAGAAGCTTCCACAATTAATCGTAAGTAGAGGCATCTTGAGGATAATTAAAGTTTATCAGGCCACCCAAAAATCCAATGCCACCTTGATGAGCCAGTCGTGGCACGCAGAACGTGAGAATGGCTCATTGTCAGAGCAAGAAGACGTACAACCGCCTGTTAGGACGGTGCATCTTCGGGAGAAGGTTGGTAAAAAATAGAAAATAGCATCCAAATTGCCTTAGGTAAAAATCCTTGTTCGCGAAAATAAAGTGCTACAAGAAAAGCTCGAGAATATGGAAAAAGAGGTAATCCAAGACGAAATTTTTGGCCAATTCCATTCAGACAAAGAAAACCCCGTTGCCAGTCCAGATTGTGGTCCCGAACCGATCGAGCCAGATTGATATCTTGGAGCAAGAGAATAAGCGGTTGAAGCGCGAGTTGAAGAAGGCTAGAGATTCTGCTACGCCTGGTTCGATGAGCGTAAGTCTCGCAATGTTATAATGTGAAAGATCAACTTTAGAATCGATCATCTGCAAGCATCGATGTGGATACTTCCAGGATGTCGGAAGACAGTAGCCAGTTGAGGACGGAAATTGAGAAGTTGGAGAATTTGGTAGGTCTTTGCGAGTAATTGTAGCTTGTAGGACATAAGCTTTCTTTGCTCTTCTCGCTAATTCTGAACAAATCCAATATTCCATAATTCGCTGAAAGATAACGATCTCCGAGCAAAGCTTCTCAAAGTTTACATCTGATTAAACGCGCACCAAAAATTGGGCAAGATTAGCATAGAGGCAATTTCGGTTCGACCGTAGTCGTACAGCAATTTTTTTTGAAAGATGGAATTTTCCGAAAATTTCTAACTCTTTCGAGTGAACGATGTCTCATCTGAAAAATGCAAAACTTTCTAAAAACGACTCCTTTTTATTCGGTCCGCCATCCCCTAAGCCCTCCACTTGCCGCCAGCCTTTCGATGAATATATATAGGTCCCCCACCTCAGCCCTTTCGCCCCCGGTGTTTCCCCCCGATATTGGTCGGGCCCCCAAAAAGCCGTAGCCGGACGCTAGTGTAGAAGTGTGCAACTGGGTGGGGGTCATAGAGAAGCTGTCCCCTCCTAGCGACCCTCGTTGCCTCACTTCACTCTCCCCCCTTTGTCATTTTCGCCTCAAAATATCGGCCTTCGACATTCGGGTCTACTCGTTCTCTAACCCTCCCATCTGAATGCAACAGCATTTCCGGGCGGTGGGTTGGGGCAGAAGAGAATGGTCTCCATCTCTCGATCCACTTGATTAGCCGCTAACGGGGTACCCAGCAGTCGTATTCTTTATTCATGACTTCCGTCGCCTTGTTCGCCGCCGCTATTTCAAAATACCCCCACAATAAGGCAGCTGGTTGATTTGAATCTTGGTGGATGGATGTTCATTTTGCCAAATGCTGTTAGCAATGCGGAGAAGTGCTGCTAGATTTTCAAAAACCAAATCCATTAGCAAAATTGACAGCCATATATCGCATTTTACAAATTTTTACCCATTCGTCGTTTGCATATATAAATTCGGTTTTAAAAGTAATATATTGTTTTTATCCTTTCCCTCTACGACTTTCAACTTCTAGTGACCCATTTTATTAAAATAAACCTTTTCTCCTTTTCAATCCTAATTTCAGGTAAAAGGCGAACAATCCCAGCCGTCGAAAATGACAATCGCGCAACAATCTGAAAAATCGAAGACTGAGCAGGTTTGTAGGTTGAGCACCTATCAAAAGCTAGGAAATTCAGAAAACCGATTCGGAATTCTCGGATTCGCGTCTTTCTCAAGAGCGTGATGATCTCAAGCGGAAAGTGGAGCAACTCGAAATGGAGCTCAAAATGGTACTTGTATTAGAAAACAAGCAAATTACCATTATTTAGTCTGCCTCCACATCAAGTATGGATACATCAAAAATTATCGATAGGGCTTCGAAGGTAACTTTCTTTTTTTGTAGGAAAAAGACGACTAAAATTACAGACTGACGAGGAAATCGAGAAAATGGTCGAAGAGGCTACCCATAGTTCTAAAAAAGAAGCACGACTGCTGCGGGATCGGGTTGAGGGGTTGGAACGACACATGCATACGGTAATATAGCCACGCTTCATGGAGCAGCGGACATTTAGGAAAAGGAACAGTTGCAAAATGAGCACGCGAAAAGGGTTGAAACCTTGGAGCGTGGGCGCAGGAATGTGCTGCAGGAAAATACTTTGATGATGCAAAAGCTCGAGAGTATGGGCCAGGAAATTGAACAGGTTTGGGTATACCAATCATAGCCTAGTCAAACTTTCAGAATAAGGAGTTGCGGAAATCGCTTGAGGTCGAGAATAAAGCGCTCCAAGATAAGGCTAAAATATTGGAAGACAGGAACTCGATTTTGGACGCGGAAAACAAAAAGGTTAGCAACTTCATTAAACCCGTTACTGAGCTTTCTTCTAGCTCGCCCATGCTCTTAGAGAAAATGCAGCAAAAATTGAGCAGCTGATTTCGGAAAGCAACATCTTACGCTCCGATCTGGAATTGGCAAAACAATCGGCTACACAAGTAATCTTCGCCAAAAAATAGTTTCACCATTCCTTGCTCCAGGCTACCGATGAACTCGAGAAACACCTAGCTGAAAAATCAACATCCACAGAAGAAAATACGTGGCTCACAAAAGAGAACGAAAGCCTGCGAGAAAATATCGAAGAATTAAAGAAGCAACTGGAGGAGGTACTTTCACACATTATTCAAAAAAATACTAATGGCGATTTCAGGATCTTACTAACGATACCGATTCTAAAACTGAGGTAAAAAAGCATAGCGGCTGCGCACCCTGCACTCTTTTCTTTTCTTTTCTCTATTGCCCTAGAACCACTCTTCTATTTGCATTTCTTATTTTAAGAATGGCAGCTATGGTAAAGCATGCTTTACGATCGAAACCACTTAGCACGGTTCATGACTTTTTTCAGAAACAACAACCCGTTCAATGATCGTTCCTCGAAAATCACGATTGGTCGAGGGGTTGGAACGGGAGATCGAAGAACTTAAAGAAGTTAATATGGAATTAAATCGAAATTTAGAATCAATCCAAAAAGAAAGTGTCAAACAGGTTTGTAAATTCAAACGTAACTATGGTATATTTCTCTTTCAGGGCTCTTCTACTGCCTCCGACGATTTGAAACTCAAAATGGAGCTCACCAAGCGAGAAAACGAGCTATACGCAAAGAAAATCAAAGAAATGGAGCAGGAACGAGCGGATATGTATGCTGTTATGTTCCGGAAGGGGCAGCAAGCAGTGGCTTTCGCTGCTCAAGAGGTTCGGTATATAAAAATTTAAATCCATTTTTTTCAGGATCGAGTCGTCGATCAATTAACTGAAGATCGAATTACATTACGCTTCCTACACGATGCGTTTTATTATTATTTATTGAACCGCGGCGAGGAAAAGGATCATCTGACGGTATTTTTGAAATGAATACTAAACCGTGAACTCTAGGCTATAATGACGATGCTTTCCCTTTACCCCAGAGCAAAAAGATGAGGTGGCCAAAAAGCGAAAAACCCCAGAAAGAAAATAATGTGTTATTTGATTAAGCGACCTCCAAATATTGTCATTGTATAGCGTGCCTTTTCTACTTTCAGCATTTTCGGTGTTCTATTATTCGGGTCATTACGGGTTTTTGTCCAATAACCATGTTTTTTATGTTTGTATTAATAAATATGCTTTAAGCTTGTCAGACAACAATTTAATTAGCGCTTCGACCCATTGGACCGGAAGCTTGACCGGGTGATTTGAATATGGGGTGATAGGCGGATCATGCTCGGTCGTTTCTTGACTTCCTCCGAATGGATTTCCTGGCATTGGCCCTAAAGTAAAATAAATACTAATCTTATATAATTCCTAACCGCTCCTTTCTCGAGTACGATAAAAGCTCGCTGGCGAATATTCGATTTGAGAGGCCGGGAATACCGAAAGAGCGCCAGCTTTCGAGCGGATGTTGTTATCGATTGCTCCATCATGAGAATGACTTTAGCCCACTAAATTTATAGAATTTATTAGTTATTTGGTTGGCCTAAGTAAAATTTAGCCGGGCAAGGTAAAAATACCTGTCTTTTCCATTCCTTCTCCGCTTCAGCAATCTTTTCATAAGTTCGTGTCATCATTGCAATAAGCAGGTTTAACAACATCACGGAAACTAACAGCTCGTAGATGATAAATAAAGTCCAAAATGCTTTAATTTTAATATATAGCGTCCTTACAAACCTTTCCAAGCGGCGCCAAACTGCTCTTACACTCATGCAGATTTTTATAAAAAGCCGAGAATTCACCGACGCTCATGATAAACATGCGCATTAATGAAGCCCAAGGAGTCTTCATGATATTCGTGAATTTTTTGGAGTAATCAATAGTAGTCAAATTTTGTTGTTGCATATACACACTTTCCTCTCGTTCACAAGCCAGGAAGATAATGGAAAATGCTAAAAGCAAAAAATAATTTATAAAAAAAAACGATTTTTGACATCACCTTGACTAAAACAGACTAGGAAGACCACATAAATCAGGAAAAATCGTAACATATCCACCAAAATAATTTTGTAAACCATCAGCACAAAGGGTCCGACAAATTTTAAACCGCTAAATGATCGTGATTAGTACGTGTTTACCACTTACCGACAGAAGAATAGAAAATGCATCGTAAACATAATAACAGATCCGATGGCTAGCACATTTTCGAGGATTAGAAAATTCTCGTGAAGGATGCAGGCCATTCGAACCGGAACCATACAAAGCACAAGTAATAGAGAACCTTTGAAGAGAAGCTTTTCGGGAAATGACTCTAAAATACGTGTTTTCAGATTTTAAAAATCCTACGATGGTTTCCCAATAGACTTTGAAACCGGAATCCTGTACTTCAGTAAAAGACGAAATAGATGGACGACAATTAAAGAAAGGGTAAGGGTTTCGCTAAACAATCGTATCTAAAATAGTATTAGAATTTAGAAAAAGTAAAATACTCGCACCTGCCCATTTCTTGAATTCCCATAGTACCATAGTTGACATTGCTCGGCGACCTCTTGCTCTTCTCTCGATGAAACGAGGATCAGATCTTGATAATCTTCGAAATCCCGAAACATGCGTGTTTCATTGTTGGCATCGATTCCAATCTGGGCGCATTAATGGATAGGTATGTCTTCGTTACCTTTATGGAAAGATTTCGAGTCATCAAAGCCGAATAGTAGAAGATGACGAGTAGCATAAACCAAAAGAGAGCAATGAAAAGCCTAAAATATTAATTTCAATGTTAGGTTCTAATTACCGTCTTTTCCCAAAGGTCTCCCATTTTTTCTGCAATACCTCATCGATGAGACCATCGAAGAATTCGAGATGTTCTCTTTTGTCCTGTAGCGAAAAGTTAATATTTCAGATGAACGAACCCCGTAGACAATATTCGCCAACACCGAGCTCTTATTCAGATTGGCATTTTCCTCATCGATCGTATCGATATTTGCGAGCGGGTAGGCTTTGCAAACGACATCACGATATCGCCAAACCACTTCCATTTCAAGGGATAGTATTAGCTCATAAATCTTTAAAAATGAAGTTTTAAAATGATCCTAACTACCTTTTCTTGGCCAATCTAGCCGCGAGGGCCAATGGGCTCAAGCCCAAGTTATTTTTAATATGTAAATTAGCACCAGACGTGAACGCAAGGTTGAACATTTCCTAAAAAACCCATTAAAGCGGAAAAATATAACTACAGGCAAATTATGGATGACACACATATGGAGTACAGTATTCCCATTGGTGTCTTGTTGGTTGGGACTTGCCTAAAATTTAATGAAAGACTTATTTTAAAAGCGTTTCAGACCTTGAAAGCTCTCAAAAGACGAAAACAATCTTCTTGGCTGGTACAAGCAGCATACGACAGCGGAAATTCACCCCAATACATTTGGCTAAATTTTTGAAAGTCACTAGAAATCGTTTTTTACCCTGTATAATTTGTATTTTGCGTTAAATCGACCCATTCATATTCCAACGAATCGGTTCGCGAAGCTTTTTGATCGTCCGCACAAAAGAAGGATCCATAGCATCTTAAAAGTAGGCAATTTGGCAATTTAAATTTGAAAGTTTACCTCTGATTTACATCCGCACCATGGCGCAATAGAAAATAGACCATCGCTTGGTCTTCATTGACAATAGCCTGATGCAACGGCGAGAATCCGTAGTAATCCTCAGAAATAAAGATGTCATTGACGGTTTTTGGGAATTTTAGTATAATTTGTTTGCCGAGGTCATTCATTTCGGGGGTGTTGTGCAGGAGGCAAATATGAAGTAGGGCCTCCCCCATTTTACCTTAAAATTGTATGGTTTTACAATACGCTCCACCTTACCCCGGAGGTTAATATCCCAAACAATTTCTCGGTAGCGTATGATTTTATTTTGGCCGTTAAAATTAGCACCGTCAAGGACTTTTAGAGCTAAAGGAGGGTTGAAGATTAGATTTTATTTAACTTGGATATTAAAAAATCGCTATTGAAAAAAATTGCGCACCTTTTAGAATGCCACCCTCCCCCTCTTGATTGACGTCATCGAGAATATTTGGGGTACCTTTACCACGTCCCTTCTTTCTTCTGAGGGCTCCTAAAAATGTAAAATTTATTTTAAAGTATCTTCTATACCTAGGAGGGCATTCCTCTGGTCGTTTCTCCGCCTCACCAGTTCCGATATCGCCACCAATTTTCCCTTGCCGCCATTGTACATGCAGGAACGTACCTGAAAATATTAAAGCCATAATTGATGCATGATATCAATATGCTTACAGCGGTATCCAGGTACTCCTCGAGGATGTTGAAGTCGCCAGACGAACGCGCGTATTTTATCCATGGCACAAGGATACCACCGCCAGTCTCGTCTACCAACGAATAGATGTCTCGTGGCGGCTCGTCCGAGTTAAATGACACTAAAGATCGCATTATAAATGCAAATTACAACTTACTACAACGGCACGAGACCCCCTTATCGAATGAGTGGCGACCCTTGTGGGGTAATCCCGCGGTTAGAATACCCTGGTATACCCTGGAAAGCAGCTGCCTTCTAAAGCCTCAACCAGTTAATTGGAAACGGGTCATTTGAATTTGAGAGGGAAATGACTTGGATGCTGTGGACTCGATTTAATTTTTGGGAAAAATAGGTAGGGAGGTATTGTTAGTATGATTAGCAAAGTATCCAATGCGTTACAGTCTTTCCAAATAACGAACTTAATTTATTTTTTTGACAAAAACCGGTAATAAGGTTTTGGTAGTAAAATAGCCTATAAAGATCATACTGTAGCAACGGTTTGCAAGAAATAACCTTTATTAAGGATAAACACTGCCTACTTTACGTTTTTCAAGGTGTTAGAAGAAATGTATAGCTTTCCCCAAATCCGCCCGGCTAGGGGGTAAGTGGCTCAATTTGTTGGGTTCTCCTTGTTTCATCCATCTCATGATGCAATGTTTGCACAAACCAACGAACCTACGGCAATGACGAGGAAAAATAATTATAATAATCGATCGTCGCAAATTTTATGAACTGAAGAAATACACACCTTTGTTTTACAGACAAATTAAAGCGAAAAAACTCTGAAATAATATTAACAAATTTAGCTGCTTTTATATCAATTTGCATAGTTCCCAAGTCGTCTTCGACGTCTAAAAACGATGCTAGATTGAGTCATCACAACCATTTTTTATCGTGCCGATCTGGCCCGCTATGCGTGTGGTGGGGTGTGCCGGCGGCAGCCAGGAAAAACGGTTTTTTCGTGGCTGGGAAGCGGATTTTTGCCACTCATTCCGGCCGGGCGATGATCGCCTCATTTTCGATTGGTCTCTGGTATTAATTTATGTCTTTAGATAATAATATTTCTCATTTAAAAAATGGCGTGATTTAGGAGAACTTAAGTTTTTTATTTGGTTAAGGCTATTTGGAGAAAAACTAATGGTATGCTAGATTATTTTATCGTCTTAATTTAGTGAGTAGCTCATTTTCAACTTTTTGCTTTATTTTTTAGTGATTGCTATGTAAGGTATAGTTAATTATGGCTACTTAGCTAAAGCTTACAACATGTATATACGAAAAAACCCTATTTAGGGTAATTTATATCCAGTACAAAGGATGTCCACCGCCATTAAAAGATAAAGAATTTTTCAAGAAACTCCTCTAATTGAAATGATTTCTTTGTTTTCCCAGCTGCCACCAAATTATGTGAGTTTGTGCGAAATGTGGGCGGCATCCGTTCACTTTTTCAAAGGTTTGCGGAATGACCTGCAGGGGGAGGAGGATGATTCTCGGCACAACTCATCTTACTCCCCCTCAAGTATCGATAATCGCCCCCGATGGCATCTTCCCCCTTTTTTAGTAGAAGCCTTGAGGTATGCCCCTGCCTTTGAAACCAATTGGATGGGTGGACGTGTGGGTGATGGTGGTGGTGGTGGTGGTGGTGGTGGGAGGGATACCAGTTCTTACGCAGACAAACAGACACACACACACACACACAAACTTTTTGGGGCTGACCCTACCACGTACTATTCCGCCGATCACTTGCTGACGGTTACGAGGCATCGGGATGACTGCAGGGTGTTCCATATTTGGCTACCATCTTGAACCATTTTCCTTATTATTTTTCGGTCCTTTTTCGGTTTGCTGGTTTTCAAAATTTAAATGGTCTTTTTACATTGTTTAAAACTGACAGCGTCAGAAACTTAAGATTTTTAACTAGATGCTGCTGAGATCTAAATTTTTAGGCTTTTACAGCCTATCAAGACACATGCGTATCGATAATTTTGCGCGACTTTGAGCCTTAAATTAAGCATTGCGTCTTATTAGCTTGTAAGCCTGCAAATCAAGATTTTGATTTATACTGTCTGCCTTGATTCCATACCCCAGTCTCCCCGAGACCTTTTTTGACCCATACCACGTCAAACGGAAAACGGCGCTACCCATGGTTGCCCATTTCGAAAAATGGACAGTGTCTGGGGGAATGGTACTTCTAGGATAGAACACATTAGGCAAAAGGGCGAGACCCGCACTTTCCCTTTGGACTGCATGCGAGAGCTGGAAACAACGGATGTCTCGTTCTCGTTTTGCTAGTAGCCGGTGCATCTATGGGGTGGGATGAGGAGGGGGTGGGTGGGTTCGGGAATTCCGTGTGGCTTCCGTGTAGTGAGGAAGGGAATCTATGCCGATGCAGGGCATAGATTACCATTCGCTCATATGCTAATATGGACATGTAACCGGGAATGCAAATGTTCTTTAGCCTGATTTATATTTTATGGATTTTTGGTGGCTTTTTTATAAGAGCTACACACACTTCCGGTGCATTAATAAGTGTTTTCTCGCTTATGGGATGATCTAGATTTTTGCTAATATGGAAATTTAATGCCTAAAATAGTTGTTTTGCCGAAAGCTGTTATGTGTGAAATCATCTCAAGAGCGTTACATAACTAATGAGTTATCGTGCATCTTTTGACATTTTTCCGCTTTAGGTATACTCCGAAAACCCGGCCGGAAATCGCATACAATGTGGCAAGCCCCAACGCTTTTTTACATGTAGAAAACCTCTTCAATTGAATCAAATTAATCACTTCTTCCCCTTAATTCCCCTCTTCCTCCCACCTTCCCTAAGCTCGACAATCTCAAACTTTTTCGGATGCCTTGAAGGGTTGAGGGGCATTGTCATCGCCTGTTGTGGCATTTAACCCGAGCGGAACCGCGAAAATGGCAGCGAAAGCTACCCCCCGGATCACGGCAAGAAAACCAAAGAGGGGGCCGGAGGCACGAACGATGAAAACGAGACGCCGCGCCCCCTCACCTTCGCTTTTGTAATCCTGTTAAGGGACTTTTTATTGGAGACGCGCCGAAAAAGGGTGATCATCATGTCGTTCAACCGCTGGGGGGTAGGGTTGGGCTGGCCAAAAAAAGCTCGTGTTGGCAGATGGGTTTTCGGTTTCTCGGTTGAGGGTTCTGGCGCTTTGGTTTTGTAGTTTTCTACATCAAAATATTATCTAGAAATCGAGTAAAAGCAAATCCACTAGATCTTTCTACCGGAAATTCTAATTTTATAGTCTTACCATAAAACCTCCATTACCACCTCAAATGCCGCCTAAGTCGCATTAATCTTCTTATATTTCAAATAAAATTATCAGCAATCATTAAATTAATTGCTTTTATGCTATTGAAATGCAGGACCAAAATGTAGCGCAAAAAACGCATGGCTTGGGAGATCTACGAAACAGGCTAATTAGCTTAATATTCTCTAGCTAAAGAAACTTGGGGTGCCTCGATGATTTTGGCTATTTTGTGCGTTTGCCATACTTTCATAATTACCATGTTTCTTATTTATTTGCCGAAAATTTTCGAATTAGTCAAATTGCCTTCATTTTTCCATACCTTATCCCTAACCCTTTTCAAACAACCGTCCCCTCCTTTCTCCTCCTGATCAGATTCACCCTTAAAAATTCTCCTCCCATCCCCGGTGCCACTGACCAAAAAAAGTCACGGCAACGCCTATATATTTGCATATTGGGCAGGATTCCTGAGTTTCACCTTCGCCTCCGGGGGAGGAAGGGGAATGGTCGGAATGGCGTTTTGAATTCGTGCCCTTCGATGCATTCCCAGCTTTGTGTATTCCTGTCCCACACGCCCATCCTCACAGCGATACCTTGATGCCACCCGCTGAGAAGCTGCACTGTTGCTCATTGTCTATTGCCACCGATTGACATAGTCTCGAGAGGCTGATCACCGACCTTAGCCTCTGAGCATGAGAAACTTTTTTATTTCTATTTTGTATTTTTAGGTTTACTTATTTTTAAGTATATTTACAATATTCCAGATGCGGGAAAAGATGAACCAAGGTGATGTCAAACTAAACCAAGAAGCAGAAAGGTAAGGAGTTGGGTTGTGAAAATGTATCGCTTCAGATTACGAAAATTAGCTGTCACGGGCGTTGCCTTTTCGGTGATCGCGGCATTTGTCTGTATTCTCACGGTTCCGATTGTGTATAATTACGTGCAAAGTCTTCACAGTGTACTACAGAACGAGTTGGATTATTGTAAGGTGAGCAAATGCGTTAAATAAATTTACAATTTTTTCGATGTGGTCGGATTGGCTGTTTTGTCAGCGTTAGGAATGATGGCTCCGTTTTCAAAATTTATTGCGACATTTTGGCTATTTTATAAAGTTTCAATTTCACGGACTTCGTTTTTAGCTTTGCTTTTATGCCTTTCGGAATGGCTTTCAAAATCCTGACCTCCCCCATTCCGGTTGAAACTACAACGGAAACGTATGACAAATCCCGAGCCAGCTTTTCCACCTCGCCCCCCCCCGCTCTTTTCTAGCCCGTCCCATTTGCAACGTCGTTTGAGGAACGGCGCGCCGTGTGGGGGGCGCCGGGAGGAGCAGATCTCCCTCAAGAAAAACTGTAGCCAAGTCCGACCCGAAAAAGCGCGCTTTTTCTAGCCGTTTTCAGAGCCGGTAGCCACCCTGGGAGGTGGATCGGATTAGGGGGAGACTGGGAGTTGTGATTGATAGATTAAGCTCTTATACCTTTCCTAGGGAGGGCCATAAACCTGAAATTCCCGTTCCGACAAACGAACACCCGGTTTAAAATGTTTCGATAAACTTGGAGTAGATCAATATAAAAAACTTAGTCTACTATTTTAGTCTCGTTCAACATCATTATGGCAACAAGTCTCAAGGACTCAACGGGCTCATGGCGAAACCCGGCGTGCCAAACGCGACTACTTAGGATATTCGGTACTTTTTCGCATACCCTAATTTTGCATAATTACAATCCAATTTTCTATAGATCTACGCGCATGCTGATGTAAGTTCAAGCAAAAAAGCCTCGCCGCCGCCCCCCATTTGCCTATTTCAAATTTTTATTTGCCTCAAAGCCTTTGCCATCACTCAGCTTATACCAAATGCTTGTTATTTCCTGGCAACGCAAAGAGATAGTTTTAGGCGACGCCACTCCGGAATACTCGTGAATTACAGCGTGACTATCAACATGAAGCGGAGACTTGTGGGTCTTATTTTTAATTCACTAATTGTTTTAGATTATGCTGCTTCAAGTGGAATCCGCTACAGTACGGATGAGCGGGAAAACCGAAAACCAACGGAATCTCCAATTCCACTTCCGGAAACCTACACATCAACAAAAGCACCAAAAGCACCAGTGGAAAGTAAGGATACGAATTCATAGGGTTTTGAAAACCATTTATTAATCAAAATTGTTCTTTGGTTGCTGAGGATCTTACAATTTCATATGACAATTTCAAAAACCTTTGTCAACAGCATTTTTTGTCGATAGCTATCATAAATCCTTTCCTCACTTTATCTTTTAACGGTGTTAAAAACGTGTGTCTAACATTTAGCCCGTGTGCCCGCCTCCGATTATCGTCGAGAGTTCAACGACGACTCCGCCGGCGCGAAGGGTCTGTCTTTGCACGATGTTTTGACTGTTGCTTATGCTCACCTTTAAAACTTAAATTCTATAGTTCCGGAAAGTAAGGACGACTATGAAAAGGAAGGCTACGAGTCGCGGTCGAGTCCTGGTATGAGTCCCCTGAATCTTGGGGGCTACTGCTTCCAGGCTATGGCACTAATTCTATTTCTGTAACCTGTGTCAAAAATCGTAGAGGAATCCCTTAAAACTGTTGATTTAGGATGCGGATGTGGAGTTGGAGCCCCAGGAGCCACGGGTACACCCGGAAGGGATGGTGTTGATGGAACAGATGGAATACCCGGTATTAACAATGGCTATATTCGTTTATGACGTTTCATTAGGAGAGGACGGCAGCCACGGAGTAGATGCTCCAGATGATTCGACAATCCAAGGCTACGATTTTTGCTTCCAATGCCCAGATGGGCCGCCGGGGCCTCCAGGACCAGCTGGATACAAGGTAATACTGGGAATGAAGGCCTGTAAAGTCTTTTAGGGGCAACCTGGTATGGTTGGAGAGCCAGGAATTCATGGTGAAAGCGGACAACGAGGCCCGATCGGGCCAACCGGTCAAGTTGGACAGGCTGGTGTACCTGGGCCCCTGGGCCTCCTGGACGGCTCCGACAATCTGGACAGACGATCGAACGGGATGGACCGCCTGGAGAACCTGGACTTCCAGGTAAAGGATTTAATCTTATTTAGCACCACGACAAAGCTTAAAAATCATCGCAGTTTTTCTTAAACTCAATTTTGTGGAAAGTATTAATAATTTTTCATAATATGGCATTTTAAAGTGTATCAGAAGCACGATTGGCACAAGGATTTGGTGTTTTTCGCAAAAGATTCTACCGAATTTCAAAGGTTCCAAAAGCAATAAAATTACTTGAATTTTAATATACCAAAACTCAAATGAGAAGCTTTGGAAAGGTCGTCAGATCCAGAAGTCGAAAATCCAAAAACGACAAACTTCCTTGATGACCTACAATTGCCTACTGATTTTAGGCCCTACCGGACCCAGAGGACCACCCGGCCCCGAAGGTCTCCCCGGTATCCCGGGTATTTCCGGACCACAAGGAGCCCGGAGACCCCGGAAACGATGGAATCCCCGGAAAACCCGGCAAAGACGGCAAACCCGGAGCTAAGGGACTTCGCGGAGAAACTGGCACCTGCACTCATTGCGCTCCTCCCCGGACAGCTCCTGGCTATTAAAATTACCCTCATTGCAACCATTCCATACCTGTAATGCCCATGAAAATTTGCTCGAAACCCCTTCCAGCCACCCACACGACTCTTTCCCAGTTATACCCAATTGATCTTCAGCCTTAACGTCTTTCATCACCCCCATTGAATCCATTAATTATTTTTTACGCGCATTGTGTCCGTATCTGGTACGCATAAACTGGTACATTTAGAGAATTTATTATACGTGACATAGAAAGTACGAAATCAAAACATAGGAGGGGAGAGGGGGCGGGCTTGAAATCGGACTAAAATACTTTATATGCTAATGATACAAGGGTAATGAACGGAAAACTGGTGAGCATTTCTAAAAAGTGGATGGTTGATATGGCTGAGGAGCCTAGAATTGCAATAGGATAAGGAGAAAATGTAATGTTTTTTGATGGGTGTGGCAGTAAATTAGTAAGGTCAAGGAAAATAACCTATAAAGTTGGTGGTACGAAAATTGAAAGCAAGCTGAAAGTGAGGGTATGACAGAGAAACGAGGAGAGTGACTATATTGAATGGCCTATGCGTCAGAATATTTTAAAGTTGCATGTTTTGTTTTGAGAAGCCGAGGACCGTATTCAGCGCAGGTCGCAAAGGCATACCCATGGATGGAAACTGAGATGAATTGGCGTATTGCGTTTTGTTTGGCCGAGGAAATTATGAATTGGGGGGACCGTACCCAGGAATCGAATAATGTAATGTAATAGCAATTTGTAAATAACCATCAAGAAGCTGATGATACATACATGGGTTTTTTGCGTGTATAGGCTGTATATAAGCTTCATTATTGTTATTTAAAAATTACTAAAAAATACTAAGGCATTCAGGTACCTTGTTTGTATGTCATTTTAAGGGGATTAGGGCATCACCGGTCGGGGAGCTAGCTTTAAATGTGAGATTTCGGGGTTTGTGTTTAGAAGCTGGCTATGAGGAGAGAAAGGAGGATGGTGAAAATGGCAGTATGTGTCGAACTGGCTGATAGTTCTTCGTATCCTTCTGTACGGGCGGTTACTTCAACCATATCACCCTGAAAATAGATCCTTCAGATTGAAAAGTGCCTTCAGAATACGTTCAGAAATCGAAAACCCGAATTCTCTTACTCTCCAGCCTCATTAATGCTTTTGAACCGGAAAATATAATCCGTATCCATCCTCAATCCAGTGATTTCGTATAGATTATTGTCGGCTAGAAAAATATTTTTCATTTTTCGGCATTACGAATTCACTTTTCGTCCTACTGAACTATTCCCCCTGTGCTTCCCAAACGCCATTCTCTTCAGCTCATCGTACTCACCGGTCTAAATACAAACGTTAAAATTGTTTTTCTTTTCTTTACCGTATCCTCCTCCCCATCATTTCCACGTGGCAGGAGCCTCTTTCTTCCGTCTATTCCGCATCGATACGAAGCACCGGCAATTCGGAGGTTGTATCGGCTTGTACTCTCCAGAGCATAGAGTGTCGGGATGTGGTTTCGAGGCTCACTCACCTCATCAGGAGGATCTAAATTTGCTAATGTTATATTAATAAAACAAATACGATAATATAGTATCATAATAAACTCGGTAAATAAAAAAACTAGGATAGCTTGTAAACTTGCTCAGCTTCCTTCAAGTGTAGCGTCAAGCTTCCGATCCTTTTCCGTTGTTCACATCGCATCTGTATTCTCCAAGATCATCAATCGTAACGTGCTTGATCTAAATAAAGGCTTAGCAAATCGAATTTAATTAGCACACGGTCAATGCGGCGGAATGGTCGAGCACGTGCTTAACGAGCGAAAATCGCTCAGCATCATGGATCTTTGCTTCTTCGTAAAAAGTGTATGTTGATGGGGATCGGGTTGGAGGCAGTCGTGTTGCAGGGTAAAACTGCCTAAAACAAAAAAATTGCTACGGTGGTTTTGATCCTTACACTGCGTCCAATAATTGCATATCGATCGATGGATTCCGCGGCGAATTCTGGGACAACTAAAAATAATCTAAGAATTTGTACGACTTACACCACACATCGATGGTTACAGATTTTTTGAAACCAGGGTCGTATCACGATCTTCATAAATCTGGACGCGAAAATTCGAAATTAAATTTGAATCCATACCTGCATAGCCATACAGCTAACTTCACGACCATCATATTCTTTAGTTAGTGCTGGGATTGTCACTTCATTTCCGGCAATGACGAATTGAGATTCTAGACGACATTATTTAGAAATGCCATCCAATTTCCATACCATCCAACGGTTCTCCAGATCCAGAAACAATCATTATACTGGAGATGGCTCGCCGGAAGCTCCACAGTTGATAATGAGCCTCTCTCCGGCCAATCCACCAACTACGGTCGCTGTATCAGCCCAGTGCACAGGCGCTATAATTATGGAATATTCTGATGGTCACGGTTGAACTTACGTGTAACATCGATCTTAGACTGTGCCCGATGCACCTTTCCATCCAAATCAGTCGCCACACAAGTGTATGTACCCGAATCCGAAGCCTCAAGGCTCAAAAAATGCAAATTCTTCTTCCGATGGCCCGTCTTATGTTCGGCCAGCGAAATCGTGAAGACCCTAAAATAGCGAGTAAGTTTTGTTGTGGTCGGCCCGAAAGCCCTTAAGGTCTCCAGAAAGCAAGCACTCCATTAGAGAAGCAGAAGCCCCTGTTTAGGAAAGCGCGAGGAGTCAAAAGGGCACGGTATAGCTGAGGAGCTGAACGACTGGGTGTTTTCTGGAGTTGAAACAATTGATACTTGGTGTGGATAGTGAATTGAGGACTGTCTAAAGGGGGATATTGCTGTCAGGGATGGAGATGACGGAGCGATTTTTTTATACCATGCTGCATCTTTTAACACTACTCTAGCATGGGTACAAATGTCCGACCTTGCTATTTCGATTTTTATAGAAAACCTTTGAAAAACGGCAAAACGAACGGTTTTCGCTGTGTATATTAGTTATTTTTAATTGAGGTTTTCGACAGCCGTAATCTGCCACCAAAACACTAATTGATGCATCAGCATGTTAATTGCCGTTTGTTTAAAAAAATTACTACTAAATTATCCCGGCACTTTTCCGACACCCAGTAAAATTCAGAAATTTCTCTTTCATCTCCATCCCTCACACATATTCACACTACTCGTAGGAGCAACAACACGTCGTTTCAAAAGGGGAGAGTAAGACTCGGTTAGAAACGAAAGCCACTTGGCAAATTGCCATCCTCAACCTGGGATAGAGGAATCGCAGGCCGCCGCTATGATGCTTGCCCGCATTCCGGCGGAACTTTTAGAGCATGGTGCCCAAAACATAATGCGTTATTTCATTAATGATGACAACATAAGAAATATACATGTTTCCAACGATACCTCGAGTTAGATTCGTCATCGATTTGTCGATTTTTGTGATCGAACCAGTTTGAGATCGGCCGGGTCGGCTAGATCGCCGTTGAAAACACAGGATACCACAAGTTTGTCGTCGGCTTTGACAACATTTTCTTTCGAAGAGATCTGAATGGGAAGAGTAAAGTGGATCTGGAGAAAAGTTCGCTTACCGTTAATTTGTTGTCAGCATCGGTTTCCTGGCTGTTGTCATCTTCGTTGCTTTTTTGGCATGCTGAAAAATTGGGGTTTACTAAGGTTCACCTTAAAACGATTTCTTCCACTAGGTATTTTCAGTTCATTTTGTGCTTTGTATCAACTAGAATTCTACCGTTCCGAATTCCATTCGCCGTGGTAACAATTCTTTCTTTGAGTGCTCTCCACTCCCCCAAACACCAACTTTATTCGCTTGTTGCCATTTCTCAAAGCGCGTTTTTTAAGAGCGCGGTCCGCTCTTCCCCCAAAAAAACACAGCGGATCTCGGTTAGAACGGCGGATCTGATGAGGGAGGAGGGACCCAGAAAGGAAGCGGAGGATTCGAGACTTCGAGGGGAGAGTTATTTGCTTTTGAGGGCCCCCGCAAGGCCCAGTGCAAAAAAACTTGTTGGTTCACAGACTTCCCCCTTTAGCCCACAGTCAGTGCTTATCGATTTGTTGCATAGTCCCGGGATGTGGTAGTGATTTTACAAAACATGTCGACGATAGGAGGGGGAGTCGATTGTCGTGATGTGAGGGTGAAACTGCACTGCATTCTAGCACAATTATAAATTTAAACCATGGATCTCCGATCAACCTGAAGCCTTTCATTAAATACCCAAGCCAACATTGTCCCATATTAATCTCCTCAAACGTTCGCATGTGGTCGATCAGATAACCCACACAACGACAGCAAATCCCTTGGTGGCTTTATTTTATTTGATACCCCCATGGTGCCCTCTTTCTCTAGCTAAAGGGACCACTGGATGAATGCGCGACACCTCTCATGGGAGTAATAATGAGCGTCGTCGACCCCCGGCGCCGGGGGTTGGCAACCCTTTCGGGTTGGGGTATCTTGGTGCGTTGAGGGCGGAAGGCCCTGAATCCCTGATGGAATTCACATTCGACCACAATTAGCCGCTGAGAACCTGGGTGGACCAATGCGGCATGGATTCGAGAAATGGTTACGCGTTCTATGAGTGGGTTTCTTGCCGAAAGTATACCGGATGCAGAGAAGGTTTTCTTAATGCCCACTTATTTTGGCCAAAAAACATTCTCAGAATCGTCCACCTGTAGTTTTATGCGGATTATCAAAATATGACGATTCAGTTTACAGGAATTTCGGATTACAAGCATCTTAAATGGGTTTTGATTAAGATCATAAGGTTATTTTCTGGTTTTTTAAACTTCTTTTTTGATTTCTCAAGCCGTCTCATTTTGGTAAGAGGTTTCTCAAGCTTTACGCATCAAACTGTCGTATTTGAAGAAAGCCATAATACGCCTAGAGTTAGAGGTAAAACTCAAAAAGTTCCATAACTCACTGACTGGTCACCCAAAACTTTTTGCGCACTCTCTAAAAACCCCAGGCCTTCCAGCTGCCATTTATTTTGCTTTATTTTATTTTATTTTTTCACGTCCCAGGCCAGCTGCAGCACCCGGAAAAAAAATCCCACACACGCTGTATGGCCACACGACCCTCAAAAGAAAAGCATTTTTGTTTCTTTAGTGAGGAAAGTGCGATGGTCACCAATTGTCTGGTGTTTGCGTTTGGTGTTTTTCCGGGCGAGGAGACTGGGGTGAAAGACCGGGCTGGGTGGGGCTAACACCTGGCACCATATTCATGAGAGCCAACAGAATATACCCGCGGGTTATGGCTTCGGAATATGAGAAAACGCTTTGCGGGTCGGGTATTTATGTTTCTTTCGGGTTAGGCGATAGGTATCGAATGATAAATAAGAAAATGAGGTTTATTTTTATTCCTCCTAGGTGGGCGATCATTTGACCGAAAATCACTTTATGAAAACAACTTTTTGAAACAAAATTTTTTGTAACTTTTTGAAATCTATTCGCAACGTCCCATTTTCGAACACAGAATTTTCAAAATTTTATTCGCTGTTGTGACCATTTCCTATCGATAGCTGGACGTGAATTTTTCGAAATTCCTATTTTGAAAATATAACTATTTGGAAATATGGTTTTGAGAAAGAGGACTGTTCGACAAACAGGTGTTTTTCGAAAATGTGCATATAAATTCTAGAACATCTCAAATAGCATATTATACTTTTCTTTCGCGTCAAGCCATATTTTCGACTTTAGATAAAAACAAATTTTCTTTCCCCCTATCCCTAGCAGTTCCCGAATTCATCTGAATTCCCGGCGGATGGACAACGTGAAGTCCCAAATTGCGAGAAAAGGTTGAGGAGGCGACACGCGAACACCCGGCAAATTACTCTAGCCGAGAGATAGAGAGGGATGTTCATTCCGGGATGCATGAATGAGTTTCTGGAATAGGTCCCCCACAGAATCAGGATTCATCGTCCATGTCCCCCCCCCCCCCCATCCTAACAAACAATACTGCCACCAGCAGGCCTTCCCATAGCTACTCCAAATGTCCTCCTCTTCCCCATCACCCTCTCCACTTTAGCCAGTCTAATGTTACAGAAAATGGCTTCTAAGCTGGGGGCTTCTAGCCATAGGGTGCACCATATGGAAGGATCACTTTCCAAACCAAAGTCAACACAGTCTTGACCGATTTGGTTTAGCAAACAAGGGGGGCTAATTAACGGGGTGTGGGGGGATCGGGTGGAGGAAGGAGGATGGGTGGAGATATCTACTGTTATGCAAATCGCATCCTCGCATCTGATGCGGGCCCGTGAGGTGTTGACAGCTTCCTTAATTAGTGAATGGATGGGATGGGTGGCTTCTACTAGGAATGCCAGGATCTGAAGTAGAATTTCTAGCGTTTCCCGCTTTGCTTTGAAATTTATGTTCTATAATGAAATAAACTTTCCACTGTTTTTTCTAACGCGAAAATAGCTACAGAAAAACTTGTGAGGTATTAATTGAAAACTCTCAAAAATTAAAGAAACGAGCTTTATAAAGTCGTTTTATTCAGCAATAGTAAGAGTTTTTCCAAAAATAATTGATTTCAAAAGAAAATCAGCAATTAACATGCAGATTTCGCATAGATATGCCGTTTTCGCGATTTATTTTAATGTAAAATGCCTCAATTCGACCCATTAGAAAAATAAAAACCGTTTCTTTCTTGCTTTTTCTCCAGCTTTCGGTTGAGGCAAAGATAATAAAAACGAATGGCCAGAATGGAAGTTTTTTGCGCCACCCGGTAGAACTTTATTTTCCATTTTATAACATCTTTCTTAACTCCCAACCGAATTCCACGATCTCCCAACGAACGAACGATCCCAAAGGGATGGCTCCTACAGGCACCAATTCTTCTTGAAGCCCCCCCCCCGCATTGTCTATGTGTGCTTATCACTAGATGCGAAGGAAAATAGCTCTCCACCCCGCGGCACCCCCTTCCCATTCACAGCCCATCCTCCAATGCGAGAAATATGCAAATGTTTGCCCCCAAACAAGCGCTTCTTTCTTCAACGTCTCTTTCAACCTTTCCCCCTTCCGGAAAGGGCCTGAGGCTATAAATTGGGCGGAGGCGATGTCAAGTTGCGAGGGCCGATCCGAGGCGCTGGGGTGGGGGCCTCTGGAGGATTTCCGCCAACGATTTTAAGCCCGAGTAGGCTTGGGAAGAGAGAGGGTAGGGTGGTGGGCATTCCGAATCCCATTTGGGTCGCATTTACAACTGGGCAGTGGGTTTGGTGTTGGAGAGGGGGGGATGGCGTGGTCAGTTTTGGAGTGAAGAAGCATACGAGAAATTTGGATGTAGGGGATGGATTTGCAACACTTGTTTGGAAGGGATGTTCCCTAGGGTAAAGGTTGGCAGGGAGAGATGATTCTGAAGTGGAACTTTGAACGTTCTGGATCTGAGAATTCTGAGATTTCTCTGTCGACACCCAGTAGATTGAAGGGGTCGATTCTGGGAGCTTTTAATCCATTAATAATTTTAGATTCTGTATTATCGGGCCAGAAACCAAATTTTCCTGTCCGTGGGGGCAGAATATTAGTCCCATCTATCTTTCTTGCCTATTATGCGGTTTTTAAGTCTAGAAAAACCAATGAAAATGCGAAAATCGACCTTCGGCGAAATAGTAAATCCAAATATTGAAAAATATGATTTATTTTATGTTGTTTGCACTTTAAAAAGTTATATGAATTTTTGGCAACCAGAAACCGCAAAGGGCCCTCAAGAAATACATAACAATTCATTACATGGCAGGTTTAGCTTAAGAATACATGCTCCCTCTAACAGTCGAGCTCCGATTTCCTAACTTTACTATCATCCCCCAAGAAACCGATCTCATTTTTCCCAATATTAGCCAAATTTCTCCCAAGGCTTCACCCCCAAAACCCCGCAGCCCTCTCCCAGGCCAAGCCAGCCGAACCGGTGGTGGCCATAGGCAAACAGCTTGTAATTTGAGACTTTTAGGTGGCGCTGATTGGGCGGAAGGCGATGATGGTCCCAGTGGTTACCCTCTACCCTATGGGGTTGCTGAGTATGTTCACACCCCACTGTGAATACCCACCATCCTCTCCACTTCACACCTGATCCCCTTACCAAAGATGGTTGCTTCAAGTTGTTTGTGATGTTGAGGGGCCCAAATAGCTGATAGTTGTCCGGTCAACAGGTATGACCGCTTGTGGGGCTCTTTCCGTGGGTTGAGTTTTCTCAGAGTCGGGCAATAAGTTTGATGTATGGGGGAGGGTGGGTAAATATCGTGATCAGCGGGCGCTTTCGATCAAGTTTGTGGGTGATGTGGAAAAGTTGGAGCGCGGCCGAGTCGGGTTTGTTCTTGTTTAAAGATGGAAATAGAGGTATTAGTAGTACCATGCCGTGTCGCGAAAAATATAACCGTCGCGCAGCAGTGTCTATTTTACAGTTTTGGTATCTAGCAAAAATCCAGAAAACAAGCGGTTTCCATTACCTAGATTAGCTAGCTAAATTTGCTTTCTTACGACCAGAAATCGTAAAACGGTAAAAGGGTAATTTGTCCGAATCGCCAAGAAATTTTCCAAAAGACGATAAATAGCTTTTAGAAACTAATACGCTTGTTTTCTCGCCTTTTTAGGAGCTTTTGCATAGTGTAAAAACGATCACGACATGTCTGAAACCTGTTTGAAATGTCTGAAACCTAGAAGCATTATTTTTCTAACCACAAAGCTATAGCTTTTCCATCTCCTAAAGTCCCCTAAATTCCCTATACCCCCCAAATCGTTGCTCCCAAATGGGCAAGTTTGCAAATGTTGCCCCACCATCCCCACCGTCACACGGATATCTCATTACCCCCCTAGAAGAAGTTGCAAGATCTTTTAGAATGGGCCTAGATGCACGATCCTCCAAACCCATCCCCCCATCGCCCTACTGAAACCCTCGCAACCCTCTATCCCCATTTTTTGAGAGTAGTCCCCAAATTGTAGAGCATTTACGGTGTGGGGTTCTTAGGGAGAAGAGGGCGGGGTGTTCGATTGAGATTGAGAAAGGTGCGGGAGCAGGACACTGAAAAACACACACACCTACACCGTTTACGACAACGGCTCAATCGCGCGGAAAATGCCCCCACCACCGGATGGATGGAGGTGTTGGGGTGTATTTGTTGGAGAGTAACCGCAAAGAGGGTCAGACATGATCGTCTTTTTTTGCAGGGGAAAGATGGCGCCAAGAGTCAAGTTTCGGAGTCAATTCAAGTTATGGCTCGCTAGAAATGGTATACACGGGGAGTTGCAGTTAAGGAGGTAAGTAAACCTTGCAAATTGGCAAACCGCCAACCGGAAAGCTATGCGAAAATCCAGGGAAAAGTGAGCCCAGGTGAAAGGGAACTCAACGGAGTTATGCTAATTTTAAATTTAATACCGGTTTTATGCTAATTGGTATGGTCTTTCATGATCCTCTTAAGCAGCTCCCGGGCCTATTAATGCATCGATTTGTAGTTAAATAGTCGGCATATCGCAAAATTAGTAATGGTAATAATAACGATTAGGCTTAAGTTAAATTTTCTTAAAGACTCACCAACTCCAGCAATTCCCAACAGCAAAACGATGGCCAATAGATGCCGCTTCATCCGGGCCATCCTGCAACGATTTTCATTGAAATTCCCAATGGGGCCCCATGAAGGTGCAACAAAACGAATAGAGAGGGCGAGGGTGCCCTAATCTTTTAAAAGGATTTCAGCACTCGGGGCGAAACCTTCGGGGAGAATGGGCTTAGAATAGGGTGGTGGAGGACAAAAAAAGGGCTCGAGGTTCGGGGAGAGTAACTTCGAGAGGTCGAAATGTATCAAAAAAATGGGTGCAATAATAGGTATGTTAAAAACGCGTAAGCTTAAAACGCCAGAAAAATAAAAAGCAAGCTCAAAAAACGCGAGCCGAAGGCAAAATGGAGCAGGCTGTGTTGAAGAGTGACTTCGGAAGGCTAAAATATACCAAAAAATGCCAAAAATGAGCTACGATAAAAGTTTACCCTTTTCTAAGCCGAACAAACCCCGAAAAGCCTCTACTCGACGCCCCACAAATTCTTGATGCCCCTCGTTTTTGCGGCGACCCAGCAGCCCCACCCCAGCCAGCCAAGCCATCCGCCCGTCCGTCCGTTTTTCCATCTTGTGGCCCACACCCTCCTCCCCTTCTGGGGGCCCGGGTCATGTTTCCATGTCCCACCAGCCCATAGTATACAAATAGACGGCAGATTACGTGTCGACCACGCGAATTATTACAAGTGTACACACAAAAACTCGGGATTGCCCCCCACGCGCGGGTACCCCGAACAAAACTGGAATGTTTGGCATTTAATTTGTGCATAAAATCTGCAAATTTTGCACTGATTTTGACTTGCCGGCCCCTTTAATTCCAGAGTTCCAAGATAGTTTCCATTTTTCTATGCAAATGAAGTTTTATGCAAATCTTGAAATGCCAATAATTCATTATTCAAAACAAGAAACACTCGAAAAATGTCTAAATTTAAATATGACATTCCCAGTCACCCCAATTTCTAATCCAATATATCAAAAAAGCACCCTCAAAAAGCCCCAATCCATTTCAACACCCCGCCAAACAAGACAGGATGTCGGTTGGCAAAGCTGGATAAATAAAAATGCCTGCAGCCAGCCCCGGCCGACCAATCCCTCCCCTCCGAATTAAATTGCTCAAAAAAAAACTGGGCCCTTGCTAATTATCCCAGAAAAATGGCCGCACTGCGAAATTGGGGCATTCTTTTGACGTTGCTTATTTTAAGCCGCCGGGGCGTCAACGTTAATTAGAAAGTGCTAGCTAGCCGGCCGGACTAGGGGTAACAGGTGGAAATTCGAAAGTTGGAAATTGGAATAAGAACAAAAACTATACAGCGTGGGGTCGGAAATTTAAGCTGAAGCTATGGGCCCTAAGAAAAATGTGAAAAATGTCAAATTGTCTCTGGGAAAGAGGCTGAAAATCGAAGGAACGACGGCAGTGCGGCCGGGGGTCTGGCTACTTGACTCAAATCCTCGGGTATTTACTCAGGATTTTTGAGGCACCCACACGATTGGGGGGAGGTGGCGAAGGGTCAGTTTTTGAAGTGGATTTCGACGTTGGGGGGTGGGCGGAAAAATTACTCATGGATTAGGAAATGGGGTGGAGAGATTGGGGGATTATAGAAAGAGGAAGATGATAGGATTGGAACGTTGAAATTTGTGTATTAAATTGCTTATAAGGATTAAAAGGCAGACTACAATAAATGCAACAGGATTTGGGGTTTAGAATGAGATAAAAACACATAGATATTTGCATAAACGAAATATATTAATTGTACTACTGAAAATGCCGGTTCCGGGAGATGAATGTATACACCTATGTACAATTGAGTCTCCTTTTCACCTCACCTGACTGTGTAAATAGGTGTATACGTAACAATCCCTAAACCCGCACTATCAAAAATATGCAACTTTTGAAAATCATCCAATAATCACACGTAAAAATTAAAATCTAATTAACCACGACACCAGCAGCCAGCCGGGTGGTAGAGACGGATGGATAGATTGCGTAGCGGAGAGCTGGCCGGGCTAGTAGATGCGGGGGGCGGGAGGGGGGCAGGATGGGAGTCGGAGGTCCCGCCCTTAGGCTAGAAAGGGGCAGAGGACAATGGCCACAGGGGGGAGAAGCTGTTTGTACAGACGGAACCGGCAAATGGAAAGGAACACCAATCCACACCAAACCACCTCTCTCCATACCCAACTACGAAGGGGCTGAACGGATCGGGTGCACCGGGAGGGAGAACATTCGATTCGGGGTTCGGATTGTAACGGAATTTGGAGTAAAATGGAGCATCCTATGTGGTGGCCGAGTTTTTCACTCGTAGTTTTAAAGCTATAACATTTTCATATTACATTTTTTCGTGCCGAAAATATTTCTCGTAGTATATTTTTTGGCGCACTAGCTAATCGCACCTGACAAACCCAAAAGTCAGACAATATTCGAAATAATGAGCACTCCGCCCGTTATCCTGTCTACTAAAATCTGTATATAACGAAGCAGAGGGCTGCTTTTGGTGTTTTCTGGCTGTTTCCAGAAGTGCTATGCAAAGGCTGTCACAAGTAACAAACTACATTATTAAAACGGGCGCCACCCTCAGAAAGTGCGCCAAAATTTTCTCGTTATGAACCTTTGGGACTTACTGTACTTCTGAATTTAAATTTTTTACATTAGCTCCCGGGTTCAACATCGCTACACTACTCCTCCATTTGCAGTTTTTTTTTGTCCAGTCGTATCCCCTGAAATATAAGCGCCCATCGAGCTATGTGGGAATTCTAGCCAGCTAGCATTCGTCGTCCCCCAAAAAAAATGCTTCATGAAAATGACACTGAATTTCGTAAAACGACTTTTCTGACTACATGCAAAAGCGGATGCATAGCCGTCAAACCGGGAATGTTTGGAATGATGAATGCGGAATTACTATGCAAATTGGCAGACAGGAGTTGAGTGACGGCCAATCATTGTTTCGTCACCCGGTTGGGGGTTATAATTGAACTTCGGAAAAGTGGGGGTATTTTAGGACTTAGTAAATTATAAACTACGTCAACTGAAATAAGTCTTATTCCGAACCTCTAAAAATGGAAACCTAAATCAACTTCGTATAAGCTCCATATCTGGCATTTCTGGGAATGTTTCGTATTTGCAAAATTTACTTAATAGGTGAAACAAGGGTATTTAAGAAGAGGTTAAATCGTATTCATTCCTACATTACATTACCGTCTCTATTACTGTCAAATTCAAATTTATATGTATATTCAAAGCAAAGCGGCTTATTTTTGAATTAAGAGTGAGCAAAAATCATAAAAACACATTTTTAGAACGGCCAAAATTTTTGAGTTTCCGAAACATTTAAAAGTTCGAGAACCAAGCCTTAGTTGGCCGACCAGCAGAAGCACACACACACAAGCTGTGGAACCAGCCGACTCGAGCTCCAAACCCCCGGAGGCGGCCCTTTGACTCCGTGTGGCCATAATAAACCCCGACACAGCGGGTGTCCCCGTTCGTTCTCTTCTTCCACTCTATTCCTCCTCTCACTCTTCTCCAACCACCAACCGTCGAACCCAAACATCGCACCCTAACAATTAGCCTTTTAATTCCATTCAAACATGCCACAGGCTTCCCCTACCCCCACGTTGACTGCATAAGCGCGACTGCAAATAGAGGTGAGGCTTCATGGTTGGATAGTATATTAAGGTTGCACGGGAATTGTGACGCTATTTTGAGGCTGGAGCGTTTGGTTTTGAGCCTCGCCAGGAGGTGTTTCGGTACTGGTGTTCCTATTAAAGAGCTAGACAGATTGAATAGATAAAATGACCGATTTTCCGATTCGAAGATGTCAATAAAAATTGCATTCGCCAAGAAGCATCATTCGACCAGACGGTTATCCAACCTTTATAACAACACTACCAACCCGACATTTTCGCGCCATAGGTCAGTAATCTTTTAGTCCAATGACAAACATAGACTTGAGTTTCCGTCTTTCACAGGGTATCTTGGCGTAATCGGGTCTCTAAATGCTAAATGTAAAGGATGCGGCTACCTGTCTTTACCGTACGCATTTCATTCCTAATGCAACTCATTCAGGGATATGCTAATTTAACCGCTTTTTGCAATGCAAAATCGTCCATGAACAAAATCGTGAGATTCTTAGTTAGCGTGAGATCGATGCCAATCAACGCTAAATCCAATATAATAGTTAAACCGGTGGGGACCTTGCACTCGCTGTAAATCGGGGACTACTGTAGCGAAGGCAGCGTTTTAGTTATGACATTTAGCGTGCAATATTGGTTAGTTTTGAGAGCTATGAAATGCCAGGTGGCCGTTTGGGGAGGAGATGCTTTATTGTGACTCATTACATCTTTGTTCTTAGAGTTCTAATATAATTTTTCCAAGATAACGCACCAAACACGAGGGTATTTTCACAAAAACCGAACACAGCTCCCCCCAATAATTACGGCCCTAGATCCCCAAAAAACGACCTGGGTGACACGGCAAATATCAAGATTAAGACATCGCTTGAGACACACACGCATCCAGAAGAAAACGTAGATGTGAGTGTGTCGAGTCTCGAGGGACAAAGGCGAAAATTGCCCCCCTTGGGAACGATCCCGCCCCGGACAGCCTGATTCCACTGTCCACCACATACTTCTACACCCATTTTGTCCCGTGGAAAACGACTGGAGTTTAGGATTTCGTTTCTCGATGACCTACTTGTAGAGGTGGAATGGAACAAGAGAAAAATATAGAAATATGGAATTACTAAAAATTGTGATCTTGGAGGTTTCCAGAAACCAGAAATTTTTAGCAAATTTTCGTGAAATTTTTAGGCCTTTTAGAAACTTAACATCACCGCTAAGAAGTACTTGCCTTAAATCGTATAAAACCCTTGAAATACCCCCACCAAACCCTCACCTCTCGCTAATTCCATTTCTACGCCCGCCCATGAGAAATTACTGCACCTCTACTGCCCGTCACCCCAAAACCCATACGATTCGCGAAACAATTTATGCAATCAAATGTGGTGAGCTGAACATAATCGCACACGTCGATACAACGATAAACATTGTAAATGTATAAAGACACAATCGATCCACAACCATCGCCGCGAATTTCCAATCGTTTTCGTGGTGCTCGTCCTGGAAATGAGCCATATTTTTTACGCTATATACTTACCCTTTCATCTTCTTCAACTCGTTTTCGGACCACTCGAATTTGATTCGAAATACTCCTCAATTCAAGGCATGCCGTTTGTAGGCCTTTATTTAATGCGGACATTATCAAACCTTTAAAATTTTTGAAAAAATTGATACATTCTCACTATTACTTTCTCCAGTGTGTTCTAAACTTCTTGTTTTTAACGCCGCAAGTAATCCAAATTTTGAATGACCCGCTGAGAATGATGTTCTCATTAATGGCTTCGTTAGAGACGCTGAATAGGGATTAATTGGACGATTTAGGTATCGTACTTTGTGAGGAACAAGTGCAGTTATCGTCGTCTAACAGCTTTGTAAATAATTTTTCGTTTTGTTCGTGCTCCACGTCACGAGCGCTAATTTTACGGGATCCAGATTTTCGTTGTCTGAAATACATCAAGTAAAAAACAGTAATAATTTACATACTCTTCTGCCAGCTTTTCACTACAAATAACTTTTCGGTTGTAAACAGTTTTGCCTGGTCTTCTCATCATCAATAACCAAGGCAACCAGACTAGAAAGCAAGTTCTCATCTGAAAAACTTATTTCTCCACAAAAATACATAAATTATACATACGAATGGACTCATTTCGTGTGTTTCTGGCTTTCGGTGATGCAGATTCAAAACCAATACGGTAAATACCACCGACGCCGAAACGACAAGCATACAACTCGAGAAATAGGCACCTAGATTTCACATTTTCTACAAGATACGCAAGCAACCTATTAACGGAACGGCTTCTGAAGTTGGAGGGGTCATTTCGGCCACCATGCTCAAGAAGAAGCAAATTGACAGTAAGATAGTGATTTCTGATACAAAATAAGATCGTCTGATCTTAAAAAAATTACCTAGCGTAATCTTTTCGCCAGCATCCGGGGGTAAGGTAAAGCCAAGTACAGTCATTAAACTAATCAATAAACTCGGTACAATTAGATTCAATCCATAGTATAATGTTCTTCGTTGAATCATGATATAAAAATACAAAGATGGATATGGCTGATTGTCAAAGACGTAGGTTTCATTTCGGGCCGGCACACCTGTAGGTAATTAAAATTCAATATCTTAAAATCATACCAAGAAGTGTCCATTCTCCATTCTCCACATAATAGCTAGTATCAATTCCCTGCTCTTCGATCTTTTTCCCTTCCGGTGCACTTATTCGTAGATCGATAAAATTCCCAGAGTAAGTCCAAGAACCATATTTTAAATAGCACATTTGGTCGTCAAACTGAAACCCATGTTAAAAGATATCCAGAAATTACCGGAAACCATGTGATATCAATTTTGCATGAAACTTTTAGGATGCCGGGTGGTACTTGCATGATTGAGCCATCATGGCTGACCACATAATTTACTGGGTATGTGGAATCAAAGTTTTCATCGGCACTAAAAGGATAACGTTACAAATTTCTCGTATATTTCATCAATATTAGAAATACTCAAAAATCGTTTTCAAATACCTGTTAAAAAGTAGTACGTCATGCTTCCAAATGGCGTTCGCAGTCCCTGGTATACGAATATCCTTAATACCACCATATTCAGCCGGATCCCATTTAAGTTTGTAATCTGTCCATGTCTAAAATTTCGCATTATTCAGACCTAATTACACCCAACATATTCGATCCAGGCAACTATCGTGATCACTTGATTCTTTTCATCCTAAACAATCAAAATTATGATTGTGAAAATGAATATATTAATTGTTTCAATAAAAACTCACCACATCCAAGATTTGTTGTAAATATAGCTTGACCGATACAACCAGTGGATCGCTCGAATTTTGGACAGGTCTTTCAAAAGCATCATAATTATGCCGTAAATCAGCAAGAAGCCGAAATTCATCAGGACTGGCAGATAGCCTCAGAATAAGGAGTATCTAAAATCCCTCCCATCCATTTTCCTTGGCTTACCAGACTTAAAACAACGCATAGAATAGACATAGTAAGCGAGCGTTCTTCTTGCAGTGGCAATTGCTAGATGTGAGGTGTGGGCATAGGGGGCAAAAGGGGCTTTCAGTTGAGCGTTTCCCGCAGTACCTAATCCCGGGCTTATTTCGGACCTTCTTCCTTCCCCCCAAACTGAATACGAGTTGGGCGATGGCCGGATACTCAATCTACTCGAATGGCCCGTTCCCACAAACTAACTTACCGCCCACTTCGACAATCTTCTTTTTATGATGGGACAACAGTACAAAAAGTTAACTTGATAGAGGAAGTGGGTGTGGTAAAAATAGGATGTATCTACTCGTAGAAATAACAGATATTTTTAAGCTATTTCTTTACACATTTATTGTGAGTTTTTTTCGTTAGGATACCTTGAATCTAAAATCAAAAAAATTCAAATTTCTAAGCTTCAATTTTTGATTATATAAGTAACTTAACTCTTCTCTAAATTGATGACCTGCAAACAATTTATTAAATTTTCTCACTTTAAATTCCTCTTAAGAGTATCTCGTCACTTTAAGCCTCCCTTTCACCTTTTCCTTCCGGTCCCAAAATTTGAATTCGGTCCCCACTCTACTTATCAGCTGGCGCCTAGAACAACCCTGGAGCCAGCCACAGGGCATCAGCTTGAATTGAAAGATAACTAAAAGCTCCTTCACCAAATTTGAATCCCCCCGAAAATGGCCCTCCCTGGAGCACCAATAATTTCCCTTGGAGCCGGCCTCGAAAACCGTCGTTTCAAAGAACTAGCCTACGAAGCTGGACTCCGCGTCAAGAAATTCTCTGCCAGAACTGATGTCCTTGTATCGACCAGTGTGTTAGATCCGGACTATCGGGTATGAAACCTTATTAATGCGATTTCAGATTTTCCAGGTGGCCGTTTCGCTTGGAATTCCGATCGTACGTCCAGTTTTTATAGAATACGCTTCAGGCTTTGCTGATTTCCGGTTGAGCCCGGATATTGTGAGTTGAAGCAGAGCAGATTTTTAAAAAAATCTTAATTAGGTAGCAAAAAGCCGTCTCCCTCGGTTTGCTGGCTCCCGTGTTTTTCTAGCACTTTTCCTGGGAGAAACGGCAGAATCAAAGAAGGAACTTATTGAAGAACACGGTAGCCAATACTTTCGATAAAATTTGTATATTCCAGGTGGATCCATCTGTCAGTCTGCTTTGGATGCGACGCATGTTGTTGTACCAATCGGAGAAGATTATCCAACGAATGGGTTACAATATGTTGTTACCGAACAAGTAATCTTATCTATTGTTTTTTTAAATAAGATTGTTATTTAAGTGGATATCCGAATCCTTAAACCTCGGATGGTGCGCGAATGAAAAATTGTTCCCGGCTTCTGGCCGATCCGGGAAGTTGATTCGACGCGATGCCCTTCGCAGAGGAAATTGTGAAGCAGCAAGTAAGAAGATTCCAAGCAGGTGCGGCCCTAGCTATAATCAACCATGTTCTTAGCTTCCGCAAACTGAAAATCTGGAAAAGCGATCGTTCTGACACAATGAAATACAAGCGATACACACAGGCCGGGGAACTTTACAAAAGTGAAACAGAAACCCTGAAAAAGTTGGATGCTTTGAAACGGGTATTCTATTTTTGGTTTCTAGTTTCAAAGTTTTTAGATTAAAACTTTAAACATATATCTAAGCCCCGCAGAGAATGAGCTGATTTTTGGGAATTTTGAGGTGAGGTAGAACGAATGTCGGAAATTTGTGTTTTAGGAGCTGTACAACGTACATTCACGGATCGTGGAAAAACTGGCAAAAGTTTTTGCAACTTGGGCTGATGATAGTGTGATTGGATTGGTATGAAAATAAGCTTTAACTAGCTACCTATCGAAATTTCAGATTTTTATTGGGGAAAGCGACGCTTTAGCGGCTGCTTATACGCCGTATTTGGTCGGTCTACAGTATGCACAAGATTGCTTGAAAAAGGCTACACAACGGAATCCGAAATTTAAGGCGTACATCCAGGTAATATAATCATTTATATAAATACTTAATTTTTACCGCTAATAGCTGACTTTTTGTCCTAGAAATGTGAGTGCGACCGGATGCTAGGAAGGAGCAAGATAAGCGAACTTGTTTCCGCACCTTATCAAGAACTAACAAACAAAATCAATGTATTACTACGAGGTACAGTATTATTACAATTTTAATTAGTCTCAGAACTACTAAAAAACACTGCCGAAACTATGCCGGACTTTACTTCCTTACGCCAGGCCGTCAACTGTATTACCGGAATTTTAGAGTAAATTATAACCTGAATTTTAAGCTGTTTTAGACAAGTCAATGAACTCAAGCGCGCTAATTCAGAAGCGGAAACTGTTTTTAGACAGATTGAGAATATTCCGGTAAGTATTTAAAAATAACCAGTTATGTCCTAGGCTTCAATAATCAATTCCCCCCATCAAGTGTTATTCCGAGGGGATGTGGAATGTGTGGGTGGCAATGGGAGCTGGGCGGAACTGGGGAGAAGCACATTGCATCTAGTTTTGTTGGACGACGCATTAATGGTAAGGGTAATCGCTATCTTGTCTAGTTTCTAGCTATGCCGGCCTATTGATCGAAACATATCTTGCATTCCGGGGACTGTGGGTGACAGTAAGGGTCTTGGATCGGGATATCGGGTCGAGAGGGCGATTGGGATCGAAGTTATACGAAGTGCTTTGCATGTTATTGCCGAAGGTAGACTTGCTTCAAAAATTTTTCAAATCTATTAGGTTGCGAGCCAACTTATGTATTTATCATTCGAGATGAATATTCTGACCATGAACTGGCGCTACGCGGCAAGCCACTTTACAGTTTTATGGAGAAATTAGTGGGAGCTGTATGTTGCTTCCGAAGATACACAACTTTTCATTTGTGTTTTTTTTTCTACCTAACAACCCTATTCTAGGCAAATCGTTTCGATACCTCAAGATCTTTTATGGTCGAAACCGTACATTATGACATTGCATCCCAAGCTCAAAAGGAGCAATTAAAGAAGCTCGTCTCCATTCCGAGGTATTTAATTTAATCAACTTCTGTCTCATTTTCTAGTTTTAATTCAACGGATTCCCCAATTGTCAAGCTGAGGACGTTTTCGAAGAGGTTGAGTCGCCGAAAAGCCAAGTCGGCTGTAGATTTGCAGGTGGGATTGAGATTGTGATCACAACAGACTAATGATTACTGAATTATTTAAATACCCGCCGTATTTAGTATTTAATTACCAAATTTCAGGAACCATGCAAAACTAAGTCCGCTTAATATTAATTTAGACAAAAAACTAAATTCACTGAGTATTAGTTCAGACGACATTCAATCTAACGCGTACCCTCAGCACTTTTGGAATCCACTCCCATCTACCAGATCTTATTCCGGATGAGTAAGCCATTATCGACTTTCCAAAAAAGTAGCGCATACTTTAGAACCGAACACTTCAGCAACTACCTCGAGCCAATCCTTCACGACGAAGCCCTTATTTATTAGCCGGCCCGCGGTAATCCACCAGGCCTATATTCATCACTCTAACCCAAAAATATCATTCGAATTATTGCTGTCGCTGGATGGCTGTGATGTTTCGGAGGGTCTGGTCGACGATTTCGCTGGCCTATTGTATACTTTGTACATAAACGGTTGTTACTGTACCTTCTTTTCGCCTTGAATATCTTTGGTATGGAAGAGATCGACGGCTATGGTTTTCCAGAGGGCATCAGAGATGAGGTCAGCGTGTTTGTCACAGCCAAGGTAGCTAGAAATTGGCATCTTCAAATGACAAAGTTGTTTTAATCGAAAAAGCTGAGAAAAAACCGAAATTTACACTTTCTTACCGTAGCATATCAATACCAGCTCGAATAAAAGCAGTAGGATTGGCAACGTCTTGTCCCTTCAAGCTGGTGCCAGTATTACGAGTTCCCTGAATTTTAAATGTTTGTACTAATTATATATTTTTCTGACCGTCTCAAAAACGGCATGGCGGTCACCGAGATTCATTCCTGATGACATTCCAGGGCCTAAGGGGGCAGATATCCCGAAACATAAAACCGAAAATTCACCTCCAGTAATTCCGCAAGCGATATTGCCGATGATGTTGCCATAGAGGTTAGGCATCAGCATGACGTCGAATTGTTGAGGGCGCGAGACCCAAAAAAAATGGATAGCGTTGCCATAAAATCAATATTTCTAAGGTACCAGCTGCATCGAGGCGTTGTCAACAATCATCGATTCAAATTCGAGATCCGGGTATTTTTCTTCAGCCATACGCTTGGCAGTCTAAAAACAGTCGCGTGAAATTTTGATAGAATGAATATATACCTTCAAAAACAAGCCATCTCCTAACTTTTGAATATTGGCCTTATGGACGGCAGTAACCTTTCGACGGTTATTCACCTAAAATATATCGTAATTGACAATAAGCCTTCCTACCCTAGCAAAATCGAATGCCATTTTGGCGATGCGATTGATTTTATCTTCGGTGACGATCTAAAGATGATATGGATTCTGCTATCCCTCTCTCTATCTCTCTCGCTCTCTCGCTCTCTCTCTGTCTCTCTCTCGCTCTCTCTTTCTCTCTTTCTCTCTCTCTCTCTGAATTCTCCTTTCCGAACCTTGATAGACTCAACAACGCCGGGAACCGATTGATGCTCCAAGCCGGAATATTCGCCTTCAGTATTTTCACGCACGATGACGATATCGATTCCCTAAAATAGATTTCAGTGAATTGGATAGATCGTTATAGATAATATGACACAAGCACTACAAACTACAAAATAACAAATTACAGTATGGCGGCTAGGAATAGTGGGAATGGTGACGCAGTGAATAATATTGGCGTAGAGGTCGAGACGATGACGCAGTTCAACGTTTCGTGACTTGAATACGGGGTCGTGGTGTTTCGTTTCGATATTACCCTGGATCGAAAATTAGGGTTGTAAATTCAAATAAAACCTTGATAGCCACTCCATTTCTCTCAACGGCCATCAGGGCGGCTTCCATATCGCCATCGGTTTGCTTTGAGCTCAGCTCAATCGTTTCGAAGTCGACCGGAGCCTGGGAGAAGGGTTTGATAGCAGAAAATTTCGTGTTTACATGGCTATGCGCAAAGATGCGCTTGATGTGGGTGAGCATTTCCGGTCCAATGCCATCTCCAGGAAGTAAGGTGCAGCGGTGACGGCCGCCGTATTTGGCCTGGGGAGGCTAAATAATGGACTGATGGTTAAAAAGTAATATATAAGATCATCTACCCTAACGATCGGGATTTTCAAAGGGCGCATGACATTTTCTTTGGCAATGGATAACCGGCGGGCAGCCACGACTGATGGATGGACCGATTTGGAGAGGATGCCCATCCTAAACAAAGCATTTTCAATTCAAACTTAGAAAAAGCATCTACATCAAAATGCCTATGAAAATCGATATATGGCTATGAAAAAGTGAGGAAATGAAAAGGTTTGGTGGGAAGAAGATGTTGTGAGTGGGGGGGAGCGGTGAAAGCAGAAAAAATACGACGACAAAATCTGTTGTGAGCGGCTGGGAATTAGAGAATCGATTCTAGAGTAAAAAAGGAAAAGCGGAAATCCAAATTGAATACAAAAAAGGTGTAAAAGGCATTTTATTTTGCAAATGAACAACTGATCGAGAAAATTTAAATTAGACAGTAACTTATATAAAAAGTCAGGTTGTTTTTGGAAAACAGTGATTTTCGACAAATTTCGGGCCTTTCATGATGTTTCAAATAAAATTTCCATTTTCATGATACACCTAAACGTCAAAAAAACGTTTGTAAAGTATCTTTAGAACCAATTTCTTGTATGAAAAGTCAAAAGAATTGTCTCGCTAGTAAACAACGAAGGAATGGCTTGAGAGGTTGGACAACAGCTGTGCGTTCCTCCTCTACCCGCTCCCCCCTTCATCAAATCGTTTTTCTCGGCGGGTCTTGGGCCACAACGGGCTCCAGCTTCATCCTCTTTCCCCGAGACCGACCGGGGTCAGCTTTTGGCCATTTCCGAGGCGAGAGGGCAGCTTTTTTTATCCGACGCTTAGCGGCTTAAAGTTTGCTTTGCACGTGTGTAAAAGGCGGAAAAGCTTCAAATTACGACTGGAAAAGCAGGAAGCTGCTGATGGCTTGTAAAACGTTATCAGTCAGGTGTGCCAGGCAATTTTTTGCGCGCGTTTTTTGCGAAGATGACACTGGGTGGTGAGAATGACGGATTTTCACGCTTTATTGAGGATAAACTACACATTAGAATATACGGAATAAGTAGTAAATAATCGGGTTTATACACTGTAAATCGAAAAAGAAAGTAAATTAAAAACAAGAAAACCTCATGAATGGAATGGTAACACAAAAGGTTCTGCCAGATTAAATACAAATCAAGCATCATTTCCACAAAATACAGGATACAATATGGAATCTATTCGAAAAAACATTAGTTTATCAATCATTATGCTAAGCAGGCTTCTCAGCTATTGTGGGAACACACGTCATTGAAAACTCCACAGCTTCATCAATATTCCTCATCAGCCGGATCGAAGCTGTCGACGCCCACCTCAAATATTAATAGGTTCAGGTGGAAACTGCGGTTTTTATACCTCTTCGTAATCTTTTTCCAGGGCGGCCATATCTTCTCGGGCTTCACTGAACTCTCCTTCCTCCATTCCCTCACCGACATACCTGGGAAAAATGGGGTTAAAGGACCATTGAAGGCAAAGAAGGGCTTGGGGATAAATTAGTCGAAGATAAATTTTGCTTACCAATGAACAAAAGCGCGCTTTGCATACATCAGATCGAATTTATGGTCAAGGCGGGCCCAAGCTTCTTGGATGGCAGTCGTATTTGAGAGCATGCAGACAGCACGTTGAAGTTTTGCCAGATCTCCACCCGGTACCACAGTTGGGGGCTGGTAGTTGATACCAACTTTGAAGCCCGTAGGGCACCTTAAAAACAACATTTAGTTTGCGCACTTAAAATCCATGATTCTGAATTTTCTACTTACCAATCCACAAACTGAATCGTACGCTTTGTTTTTATCATAGCAATGGCTGCATTAATGTCCTAAAATTAATTTAAGATATCCGTTAGGTTATATTCTAACCTTTGGTACGACATCTCCTCTAAACAGCAAACAGCAGGCCATGTACTTTCCGTTTCTCGGATCACAGCGTACCATCTGGCTGCCAGGCTCGAAACAAGCGTTCGTGATCTCATTGACGGTAAGCTGCTCGTGATAGGCTTTTTCGCTAAACATATTGTAAAAATACTATTTTGATGTAAATCTTTGCATTGTTAGTTTTAATCGACACTTTAATATAAAATAATAGGTTTTTAATAATATTATACTTACGCTGAAATCACCGGCGCATAGGTGATTAACGGAAAATGAATCCTGGGGTATGGCACCAAATTTGTCTGGAATTCCGTGAGGTCGACATTTAGCGCGCCATCAAAACGTAGCGACGCCGTCACGGATGACACGACCTGCGCCAGTAGACGGTTGATGTTTGTATAGCTCGGGCTGAACAGCATTCGATGCCTATCGACTTTTCTCACCTTTTAATGCCGAGGTTCTTCTTGCAAATGTCATAGACGGCTTCATTGTCTAGCATGAAGGAGCAGTCGGAGTGTTCGAGGGTTGTGTGGGTGGTGAGAAGAGAGTTGTAGGGCTCTACCATCGCTAAAAATATTTTTCAACAGCTTGGTAGGACCATTTTTACATGTGCTGATTTGGGGAGCTGGATAGATCGAGAATTCGAGCTTGGCCTTCTTTCCATAATCAACGGAAAGGCGTTCCATCATCAAGGAACAGAAGCCGCTGCCGGTTCCTTAAATCAATTTAATCGAAAGCTGGAATTCGTTTCCTTTACCTCCCCCAAAGGAGTGGAAGATCAGAAAACCTTGGAGACTCTGGCAACGCTCAGTGACGCCTAAAAATATATTAGCGTAAACTCGTGAACCAACGGCGAATTCTATCGACACACACGTCGATCAGCTCTTTGCCGATCGTGTAGTGTCCACGAGCGTAGTTGTTGGCCGCGTCCTCTTTTCCGGTGATTAGCTGTTCGGGGTGAAAGAGTGAACGGTAGGTTCCGGAACGAACTTCGTCTGGAAAAATTTGGGGTTAAGGGAGTGACATTCAGAATGGTACTTACCGACTACGGTGGGTTCTAGGTCCATGAAGATAGCACGAGGGACGTGTTTTCCTAAAAGCGGTTGGCTTCATTTTGAAAGTGGTTTGACAGGAGTGATCGGTGTTCTGTCGCGGTCAACGCGTGCGGTCGCGTTGCGTCCTGCCAGAGAGTCAGAGAGAGAGAGATGGAGAGAGAGAACGAGGGAGAGAGAGATAGAGAGCATGACAGAGGGAGAGAGGGAGAGCGAAGGAGAGAGAGCGAAGGAGAGAGAGAGATAGATATAGAGAGAAGGAGAGATATAGAGAGAGAGCGAGAGAGACAGAGAGAGTGAGAGAGAGAGAGAGAGTAAGATAAACAAAAAGCGTCTGGTGCAACAGAAAGAAAATCTCACCAAGCCCTTCTGTTCCGACATAAAAATTATAAGCTCAAACCTGATTGTGTCTCAGAAAAGAACGTATTATACGAAGCATCTTCAACACCCATTGATGCATCTGCCGGCATCAATCCATCCGGAGTAATACCGTGTTCCAAACAGTATAATTCCCAACAGGCATTTCCGATCTGCACCCCCTGCTTGTCCCACGTGCAGGGACACAATCTCACGCTGAACATGTTCATATGGTGTAACGTTCGTTTTCAAGATGCTTTCAAGGTAATGGCACGCAAAAGATGCAGAATTTCAAAATTCCTCGGGCTGTTCTCTTTTAAGAGGCTATAGAAGACAGCACCAGCTTTATTAAGTGTATAGTGACAGTACCTTACTAAAGGAGCTTACCATCTTTCCATTCGGGGCCATTGTTCTAGGTGATGAACTGGCGTGTAGTGGAGATGGTTTTCGGAGGGTGTTTGGGGTCTTCGTGTAGAGGCCGTATTCTGGGCGTGTGTATATGAGCCTTCACGAGTCGTTGTGAGCTATTCGTCTCCGGTTCTACCGGTTGCCAGGGAACAATCAACGACCCCCCCACCCCTCATTTTAGGACTTCAGTCGGAGAGGGACCACGAGGGGGTCCCAGTCGGCAAATCGCAGCGGCTGGGGGGAAATTTCTAATTAGAGCCTTGTTGGGCACTCGAGGCTTGCCATTTAAAAAGTTTGGCTGGATTGGTTGTTTTGAATGTTGAGTATTGGGAAATTATCCGAAGCGATCGATTGGGCCGTTAAAGTCGAGGATTCGTTGAGACTTGTGTTTCACTCCATTAACATTAGTACAGATTGTCTTGTGTGCTTATTACCCAATGCAAAAATATATTATTATGGCTAGTTCATATAGCTAATTCCTAGCTTTCCAGTTCCTTTAAAATAACTTCGAGTGCAAAAATTGATACATTTATTATACAATAAAATTTACTATAGATTGAGTTACAGGTAATTTTACGCTCTTCTAGACTCTACAATAATTTTTCTAGCTACTTTAAAGAATTGTAGAGCAAAATTCCGATAACCTATCTATTTGCATAGCTGTTTCTTGTTTTCGCTGTACCTAGTGCTATTTTTATCTCGACGAAATTAAAAACATTTATCAACAACTAAACAACCATCTAAGACACGTAAATTATGTAAAAATTTGGTACACCGGTGCAGGAAGAAAGCTGAAATCAAAACTAATTAGTAAAAATGCAAATTTCCCAAACCATTTGATCCAATATGAAATAATGCCGCGCCTCGGCACCACGGCTACCCGCTTTTCACACAATATCGCATCCACATAATATTCAGCCACCTCAGCCGGAGATAATAACGCCAAGCGATCACCTCTTAATTAAAAAAATACATGAAAAAGTTTTGAACTTACAGAGGTTTTGTCATATTCGTTTTTGTGAGAAGTGGACAGACGGAGGTGAACTTGATATTCCGCTTGCCGAACATCCACATTTCATCTTCTAACGACTCCATTAAACCGAATAATGCTTGTTTTTCGGCCGAGTAGTCGGCGATTACTACAAAATTTGCATATTACTGTGATTTCATAGAGTAAACATACTTCCTTTACCAACCAAGGCACGACTTGAGCAGGTGGCTACAATATGGCCCTTATTTTTCTCCATCATATGCGGTAATACTGCTTTTATTAACTGAGAAATAGTTTGAGATATATTATTTTTCGCATTACCATCATGGGCGCCACAAAATTTAGCAGAATTTGTGTTTGAAGTCTTTCCTTGGTCATATCAACAAATTTAGTGAACGAGCATCTGCCTGGATATTAAAAAATTAACATGTTTTTCAAAGTAAAATAGACAAAAAAATTTAAATATAAGTAAATATTTCTTACCTGCATTATTAATCAAAATATCAACCAGCCCGAATTCCTTTTGAATTTCTAATAGACCAAAGTTGACCTCTTTTTGATTTGTAATATCCACATCATAGGCACGAACCTTAAAAAGCTTTCTTGATTTTACATTATTAATAATATAAAAATAAATTATAGCACAGCCGATAAGTTGTTGCATTGCTCCCACCTCAGTTCCTTCTCTCTCACAAAGTGCTCTCGTTTTCTCCAAATTTTTCCCATCCACATCCCATAGTATCAGATTAACCTTACAATCGGCCAATCGTCTAGCCACTTCCCTTCCAATGCCATTTGCTGCACCCGTCAATAGTACTGTCTGGAATTTTCTACGGTTAAACTGAACTTTGGACTCTCTTGATTGGCCATGCAAAATCCCAATTTCAATACCTGACCCTGTATTTTCTTTCGTGGATACCAACCGATTGGGGCCCAAAATTTGAAGACCGAAAATATACATTCGGTGATAATAGTACGAATTATCACGTAGAATTGTAGCAGGAAAATGAGCATATTTTAGGGTAGAAAGGAGGGCACGAGGGGGAAGATAGGCGAAAAGGGAAGAAAAGAAGAGAGGAGCAGAGCAACGAGTGCAGTGGAATGGAAGTGGGGGACCGATTTGCCAATAGCCCGGGTCCGATCAATGGGAGGCACCAAAGAAAAGAAAAAGAGAAGCCCTGGCTTTTCGCACAAATATTTACGGGGTTTTGGGTTTTTAGGGTTGGTTGGGTTGTTTTTAGGGCCTTTAGTTAGAATTTTAATTCTGAATAATTAAAATACATGGAAAACTGGATAAAAAAATTTTAAAAAACGGATTAAAATTGCCACAAAACTACAAAGGAACAATAAAAAATGGTTCTTGTATTGATATAAATAAAGGTAAGAAATTTCTAATTGCGTTTGCAACGGCTGAAAAAGCTTGCAAAAACTGTAAAACCACACATTGATCAAAACCACAGTATTCTATAGGCTTATATCATATAACACCTTCTTAATTATATAAGCGTTTTATTGCAAAAATAAACAAAAGCCATATCACAGCGAAACCGTATGGACTGAGTTGATAAAATGCGACTACTAGGCGAGACTACTTTCAATTTCATAGAGTGCAATATTTACAGATTATGGCATACCTTGAGATCAACAGAATATTTTTGAGAGCGAAAATTGAGAGAAAATATGTATAAATAAATGCACTAGCTTTTCACAAGCTGTCATAATGTATGGCGTGCATTCCGAGGCCAAGTGTAGAAGGTTCTGGCAGCATTGCATCTTCGGCACTAAAGTAATCGCTAAAATTATGTAAATTTGTGAAACTGATTTAACGTTGCTCGTTCTGCATATTAAATGAGTGATTACCTTGTTGTGACAGAAGTTGGGAACATCATACCATCATCTTCACTGCCGTGTGGGCTTTTACAGGGGCTGCTTCGCTCTTCAGAAGATCGTGATTCTTTGCTCGCCGAACCCTGAATATTCAATCACAGTACACTATTTTTAATTTCACGATCTTATTATTAAAATCCGATTTTCCGGAGTTCTCTAAAAATCTATAAAGCCCTGCTCACCAAACTGCGAGGCCCCATCTTCTTGTTGCCCTGATATTTCTTCTGGCGAGCGCGCGAATTCTGAAAGAGAATACGGCGCCTCGTCTGATTGAATTTAGAGGGACTGACTTGAAACCAGACTTGTGTCACGCGTTTGCTCAACCCCGTTATACTCGCGATCCGTTCAAGGTCGGCCCCATCTGGATTGCTATCGATTTGGAAGTGAGCCTGGAATAGAAGGGGATAGTAATTATTAATAGGTATGCCAAACCTGTAATACGCTCAATTGCTCCTCAGCGAAGGTAGTTCGAACTCTTTTTGTTTTTTGTTTCGGTTGGCCATTTCCTAAAGTGATGGTTTAATAGGAGTAGGACCTCAAACCTGAATCTCCATCAATCAGTTCCATAAAATGTTGTTTGCAAAGGATGCGATTATTCGTAGATGCAAATTCCTCGCCTGTCGAGAGTTGACGCTAAATAAACACATAGTTTTCAATAAAAATTTTACTTTGCATTGATCACAGGCAAAACAGGCCAAGTGGTAGACGAAAGAACGGGCTCTTCGGACCCAATCGGTCGACTGGATTCCGCGATCGCAGGAAGCGCATTTGGCGGCGAACCTTCTGGAAATATTAGCATCTTTATGAAAATATCTATTATTGCATGGGGCAATAAATATTTAAATTATTAGTTCGCCCGTCTCCAAAAATCTTCAAACATCCTCAAACCTAACACCTCCCCTCCACCCCAATTTCCCCCGGCTAAACGCGCTAATCGGTTGGCGCCCAAAAGTGGCTTATGCAAAGCGGATCGAGTCAATTATGGGGGGGGGACTGGGTCCTTGTTGTGAAGGAGGAGGAAGGAGAAGAAGGGGGGATGGTACCAGCTGCTGGGTCCTCACCAATCGTTGACACCGCTTTCAAGCCAAAGGATCGGCGGGGAGCCACAAGTGCCTTTGCAGCTCCTTTAAATGGGAGGCGGCTTTTGAAAAGGGGTGGTGGATGGATTGTTCTTTGGTGTGATTAGGAACAAGTCAAGGGGTTGTTTTTTCTTGATATCTGATAGGGTGTATGGTGTTCTTTAAAGGAGTTATGAAGCTAAAATTTGCAGATTCGGATATATGTAGTTCTTATTCATTAAAACACGTTAAAAACCATAATCCCGCCTAAAAAGCAAGGAAAATTTAAAAACCGGTAATTGAGTTAGTAACCAAGTATTATTGAGCCAAATAAATTTTTTGTGTTCGATCAGACTTCTCAGCCTCTTGAAAGATGTCTGATTTCACATCCGGCTGTTAATACCCATTTAAAAATTCTTAATCGGTACAGAACAGAATACCAATTATCTTAGTTCATTATGATTGTAAAAAACTCGATACAGCGAGTTTATAACAGCATCCCCTCCCAGCCAGTTGCGTTCCAAAATTGTTATTATACCCCCCAATAGCCACCTAGCGTCGATAGCATCCATACGGAGCTCGTTACCACCCCAATCGCCGGTATCCATAATCTGTCCTCAATTATCCACAGCTTACCGCTCGGTTACATGAGACCCACTAGGGGCCAATTGTGAGAGAGACACGGGCAAACGGGGATCTATCCATAAGGGGCCTCCATGCTAACGAGGGCCCTGAATGTTGCGCAAGACACCTGCACAGATGGGTGGAACATTGGAAAAAGAAGGGAAAGAACGAAAGAGAGGGACACGCTGGAGGGAGACCAATTGAATCAACCATCCCTTCTGGTGCCAACTGGCTGCACATTGTCGCCAGTTAGCCCCTTGGTTGTTGTGGATGGTAATGCGGTAAGACGAGGTTGAGCAAGGAAGTAAGTAAAATGAAGGTGGGATGCAAATAATGAAGCATAATTTTAAAGGTGCCCCAAAAACCCCCAGCTGTCGGAGGAAACGCGACCGAGTTAGGTATCGATTAAAACCTATCGACAAACGAGAAACAAACGTAATTCATTTCCAAATTAAGCTTCATAAATCTTGAATTTTACGAGCAAAACGATGAACACGCGAGATCTATGCGAAATATGCATGTTAATTGCCAATTTCAAGCGGCCAAGACGATTGTTTTTTCAAGGAAAGCGTTTAATATGGTGCCAAGCGAAATATTTTCGCAACGGAAGTCGCTTGTTTTCTTGCCTTTTCCAGAGTTTTATAATGGTGTAAAAATTATTGCAATACTCGGTGTCTCCAGAGCGCTAGTAGGAGAAAACAGTTCAACTTGCTTCTATAACTAAAATGAAATTTAATTAACCAGGACATTTGATTTTATTGATCGACTAAGCCCGTTTAATCGTAATTAATACTTTGACAAACTAAAGACTCTCGAGACCCAATTTTCCCATGCATTAAAGAGAGCCGTAAGAAACAACCAACCTCCCATAACATGGCTTACAAAAAGCCTGCCCCTCTCGGAAATAACAGCTCGGCATATTTTCCAGCGCCGCCTCACATCCGGTACATCTAAAAACATATTTCAACTTTCAATAGACCGCCTACCGTAAGCAGCAAACATGAAATGCAGATCCATTGACGTTGAGCAGCACCCGATCCGAAATAACACCATCGCAACTGGCGCACTGCCCATAGCTTCCTATCAACGGTTGGAAGGTCTGAAAATTTGCCGTTGAACATCTTCGGTTTTTTATTTATTTTTAGTGGTCTTAGATGATAGGCTTCAGAAGGTCTGAGCAAAATACGATTATGTAAACCCGTTCTTTTTAATTAGATTCGTGGATACAAAACAGACTCGAATTAACGTTTGAACCTCTATCACGCGCGCAAACGGTCCCCGGGGAAGCGCTGGGTTTTTAATTTGATCGAATCAAATTTGGGTTTAATTTTTAAGGTCAGCACGAGGAAATATCTCTCGGGACGTCATCTATTCGCAGAAAAGTTTTAGGTTTAGTTTTTAGTTTGATCAAACAAGTGATTGTTGTGAGATCACGTCATTTGAGAGTTGTTTTGATGTATTTTCGTGGTGTTTTGAAATGTTTCTGGCTCGTGAAAAGAGAATACGAAACAAGAAAATAGGTAAAGGAAAGTTTCGCGCCAATTATAGGCATTGGCCGGCTTTAATTCGTGTTTTGTTTGTATAGAATAGAAAAATTAGCATATAATGGACGTCCGAAAGTAAGTGTCGGGCTCGAAATTGATGTTAATAATATTACTGAAAGTTTGGTTCTATCGTTTTGACACTAAGGTTTTGCTCCCATTTTTCCCTATGTTTGTAACTTCGCGTTTAAATTGAGATCAAATATAAGTAAAATTAAACATTCGTTTTCACACGCTACAAGATCTGCTACGTGGTTTTGCATGAAAATCAAGCAAGCAAAACAATTGAAAAAGACGCTGTGGCCGCATGGCTTTTACAGAGACTGTATTTTTCCTAGCGGGTTCTATCAAATCCTTCAAATTAACTACCCACTATATCTTTTTCAAGAGCTACTGTTAGCGAGGAAAAACCAAAAAAAAAGTCATTAAACCGCGCAAAAATCATGTTCCTGGCTAAATCGGGAGTATGAGAGTGACTTTTGAGCAGCACGGTGACTTGTGATTGGAGCGGGAGGGTTGGACTGGCCGATTGGGGTGGCCAAAGCCAGAAGCACGCGATGTGCTGGAAGAAGCAAAAGGCTTGGCAGCGCGAAGCAATCAGCGGGTTGTTGGACGGCGGCAGCCCACCTTGATTGCGTCGCCGCTGTGCGGTGCTGCCTCCGATCCGAACTCGGCCACATTCATCTCGGAATCGAGTTGCGGCGCCGACGCCGTGAATTCGGGCATCATCGAGGGGATGTCGTGGTCGGCGGCTGGTGGGAAGGCCACCTCCATCGGGTGGGGGCCTTCAGCGGGTTAGAGGAGCACGAAGCGTTGAGGGGAGGAGGAAGGGGGTAGACGGACGGGTCCGAGGGTTGGCCTTGAATTGGGCCCTAACGAGCTGAGGCACTGGGCCACCCCGCAACAAGAAGGACTCACCGTAGCCCACCCACCGCCCTGGACTGGGTACCGCCCATCCAGTCACAGGGCCCAGGAGGGGACCTATGGACAGATGCTGCTCGACATCTTCTGGGGTTCCCCGAAAATTGGATCTCTATCAAAATCCGTGACGGGCAATCGGGTTTCCGTTGTTGGGCTAAAAACGGTGCTAGCTAGGGTATTTGAGTGATATCTATTTTTTTGCTACAGAGATCCTGCTGCTCCAAAAATACATATAAATACTATAAATATAAATACCCGATATAAATACCAAAAATAAATACTATCTTTATGTTGTAATCAAACGAATATCAACACGGGTTTCGTAAAGTAACTACAAGAGTAATTTTTACCATCTAGACGAAGCCAGAAAGCTTTGAGTTGTTGCCAGCTTTTTCTCATCCTCACTTTGGCATAGCTTTTTAGGCGACGCTTTAAACCTATTTTATACTGTTTTATTAGGTTGCTCAAGAAGTTCCAGATGCATCTCCTGATTTTCCTAGGACACCTTTAACATGTCAAAAAATTACTTTTAGAACTTTTCTAGGGTTACTGTAGTACAGTGATTTACTAAATACATTTCCTGATCACCAAACTCACTTTAAAGCGGAAGAATACACCCGACAGTTTGACGCGATCAGTCCACGATGGTCAGCGGACAACCAGCAGAGATCCCTGGGGATCAGGGGGCGCCCCCTCAGCCGCAATTAGCAATTGCGGGCAGTCTGTTGCCGTCGCATCGGGTCCAATTCCATTCTACCATAATGCCTGAAGCATGTAGGACCGGGTAGGGATAGTAGCGGTTTGTAATTTTATTTTATTTTTATTTTCTTTTACAGGGTTGTCAATCGATGAGGGGAATCGTGGAGGCAACAATGGGTCCTCGTTAGGGTTCTATTTTGGTGTTTTGCTTCTATGATGCAAGATAGGCATAGTCATAAATTTTGTTTTTGGGTTCATCAATTGCAGATGGTTTGGTTTTTAGAAAAGCCTAGCCCATTTTTCGACATCTTTTTCTAGGCTTTACTGGATGAGCTTTTTTGTAGTTTTTTCTAACGTATCGTACAACCTCTAGAGAGACGAAAGAAGAGTAGCTGCAAAAACGTCGTCCAGTCATGTTATTATCTTTGGTGTTTATAGAGTGCAGATGATAAATTTTTGAACCTTGGAAAGAAAGGCCCGGTTTTTGTAGGCTTCTCGAATATTATCTCTTTTCCTGGCTATCACTCAATCTCCAGAGAAGCGAACGGAAAGCCAGTTATGCAAATCTGCGCAAAAGTTGAGGATCGGGGGCGAGGGCAAGCGAGGTGGGACACAGGGCTTGGGGATCCATGTAAGCCAATTACGGTGGCGCGAACGCGATTAGGCGACGCTTAGAGAGGGAGCATCCCCTCTCCTTCTACCCGGCTGGCTCCATCCCTGCGTGCCAACTGCCCAGATATTCGAGTGTTTTCCAGGCCGACGAAGATCGTGTGGGGAAACTGGTCACGGTAAGGTGTCAGTAAAAGAACCTCAAAAAAATTGAACATTAAAGATATTTGCAAGAAAGATGGGTACTGAGCTGTCAGCGGGGGGGTTAGCGGGGGAAACTAATTTATTGCGGGGAAGCCTATTACTATAGCATATAAAGTATTTTTAAGATGTTTTTAGTAGTTTTTATAGCTAGAAAATTACAAAAATCTTGATCGGGTTTTTATCTTTTTGGTGACTTTTCATCAATTTTGGACCAAAAAGTGAAGTCAAAAACCCGGCAAAGTGCTTTCAAATGCGTTTCTAGGAAAAATATGGTTCCGCCCCACCCCCCGCTCGAAGTCCAGAAGGGAAAAACTTAAATCACACAAAAAGATCCTTCACAATCCCATTAACCACATCTCCTACCTGATAAACCAATCAATCCAACACCCATTTCCCGAAACATTCTTCAACCAAGTTCCCACACCTCCCCCTCATCGCAGAGCTTAATCTATCAAGCTATGCGGTACGTTATCTTATTTACACGACTCGCGCTTCATGACCGCATCTGACAGGCGGAATCAAGCATTTTCGAAGTTTACGAGGAGCCCTCCATTGCCGCCCTTATCAACAAGGGGACGGCATTGCTACGCCACGACGGCGCTTCTCTACGCCAGTCTCGTCGGCTAGTATTGACTATCGCTGGTTTGTTTTACATCAAAAAGCCATTTTATCGCATGCTCGGGCTTTTTTTGGCTGGGCATGTGCAAATATCGGAAGCACCTTTGCTTTATCCTTCGTTTATCCGCTCGTTTTATGGTTTTTAAAGGATTTAAATCACTTATTAAATCCAGTTGTCGATTTGTCATTATGATGTTTTTACGCCATTGCTATAAAATCTAACAGGAAATATTTTTAATGTACTCCGTGCCAACTTGCAACGTGGTACTTAAATTACACTCACAATCTTTTTCTTTAGCGATTTCCATACTCATCATCCTTAAATTAAGACAAACACCCCTTAATTCTTTTAGCCAAAGATGTCATCAAACAGACATCGATCAATCGAACGACCACGCATCTCCACCCATCATATCCCACAAAGCCAACAACCAATCTCAGCCTATGGCACCCGCAATTCGAAAGATTTTCGCTTCGAGACAGCTGAGGTTGCATCATAGACCTACAAATAGCTAATCCACCCAATCGTCCCTCTAGATGATCGACAATACCAATTATACCCTCCACCATGCCACCGAATTGCTGCGCTTGAACGTTGGTGGTGTCCACTACACGACGTTATATGAGACGGTGGCCCGTGTCCATTCCAGCTTTTTCGGTCACTATCTCAAGTTGGCAATAGGGCGATTATCAATAATCCCGTAATTAGGATCGACTCGCGGAGTGGGAAGGTTGTTCGTTTCAATGCTCATATTATTGTGAGTTTTGTGGGGGTTTTACCTAAAATAAGGTGTCCAGGAATGGTGAGTAGGAAAGTACCCAAGGCGATAAGCGTGATTCAGACCTTTTGTTCGAGGGCGTTGCCCGGAACTGATAAATTTCCGGTTGTTTCAGGATCTTGCATAGATTTGAAAAATGGGATCTTATTTTTAGAGGAAAAGTAACGATAAACACAATTTTAGGACGACGGAAGTGGGGCGATCTTTCTGAATCGTGATGGAAAACTGTTCGCTTACGTTTTGCAATACATGAGAGATGGTCGTCAAGCCGTTTTGCCGCGAGATGAGAGCCTTTTGAGACAAATTCAGGTCAGTATCATTGTCAGGAATAAATCGGCAAAACCCCGCTATTTTAGCGAGAAGCGCAATACTACTGCCTGGAAGGATTGCGCCAATTGGTCGCAGATACGCTCCAGGATTTCCATAACGATACGCACAGCAATGAGACGCTGGACAACATTTACGCACAGGTTGGAGCCACGCTTTAAAAAACGAACCTTCGATTGATTAGGTTAAACAAATCTCTCACTCCTGGCCTTCACGACGTTCAACAATAGAAGTTAATTTTTGGCCTGGACGAAAAATTTTTTCAAAGTGAGATATAAACTGTTCAAAATATTCTTGGCCTTGGCGCATTGGAATCTGGCAAAGAAAAACAAAAAATTATTCGGTTTTTCATTGTGTTTCAAATAAAATCCAGTGACCACCCGTTGTCCAAAACGACACAATCTTTATGCCAACTCGAACCATTTTCTTATTAATCACAAGTTCACGCAGTCCACTTAATCCAAGCACACGTAGAATATACGCCAAAGAGAAAACAAATACAACATAACCTAAGGGAATGACAAAAATGCGTCACAACTACCAGTATTGTAAGCAGGTCCTTCTATACTCATTCGAGCTCGACTAACACAACAGAGTCGTCGACGGTATCACCGACCTTCACGTTGACTGCCTTGACCTAGAATGAAGATTGTTGAGGCCGCAGGACAATTCACCCTACCTTTCCGGTTTTCCGGCGTGCAACGAGTTCTGCATTTTCATTGCCTCCATCACAACCAACTCCTGGCCTTCGCTCACCATATCACCGACTTTGACGTTGACGTTCTATAAAAGAAAAATGACAGAATATGCAAATTTGGTACCTTGATAGCACCAGGCATTGGAGAAAGGATGACAGACGACATGTCCATTTTCGGTTTCTCCCTTCATATGCTGCAGGTATTCTACCGCTTGTTCAGGCAGCACTTTGATCTGTCAATAGCCACTGCATTAATATCAAGAGACGAGTTATACCTTGAAGGGAGTTCCCTTGTAGAGAACCGTGATTTCACCGGCACGTTTTGCAACAATTTGGGTGGTAACGGGTTTCTTGTTGACTTCGAGAGTAAGCGTCGACTGAGCCAGATTCATATTTCCACTCACATCCACCGTGCGGCCGTCTACGGTCACCTAATAACATAAATGTTTCATTTAAAAACCACAAACCTTTAGCTCATTTTCATTGGCTCCAAACTGGGCGACGACTTCATGACGCTGCTTGGCTTCTCCTTCTTCTGTTGGCAGCTCAACGATAAAGCGGTAGCTGACGGTATAGGGATCGATGTGCGTGGAGCGTTGCCTGGTCTAAAACGACAATACAATGACCAACCAACTGAACCCAAATACCTGGTTAGTAAAGATCTTTGCCCGAGCAATCTTTCGCGCGTGGAGGGCCACAGCGAATCCAATAACCTAAATAGGTGGATGACTCTTATAAAGCAAGCCAAACCGTGTCCTGCTCTTTTTCGTTCAACTGAGCGCCCTTGAACCCTTCAGGATACGTTTCCGGAAGATATTTTGTAGTGATGTTGCCCGAACGGAAGCGTTTCTCCTAAAGAAAAAGATTAGCAGCACGATCAAAATCGCTCGCCTCGACAATATCCCGGAGCAGGGGAATATTGTTAGTGACGCCACGGATGACATAGTGATCAAGAGCATCACGCATCGTGTCAAGAGCCTATAAACACGGTTTAGCAGAAGGCTTTTCTTCTTACAGTGTTTCTGTCCTTGCCGTGAGTAACCAGTTTGCAAATAAGTGGGTCGTAGTAGATCGAGATTTCGGAACCCTCACGAATTCCTAGAAAGGTATCAATAACCTAAAACAGCGACATACCAGAATCACAACGGATCCCATTTCCATGGGGCTCGACGTAACGATGAAGCCGGCCGACAGAGGGGAGGCCAAAGCCTTGTAAGGATCTTCAGCGTAGACACGACTCTCGAATGCCCATCCGTTTAGAGGCACCTTTAAAAAAGGCATATATAATTGAGGATCAGCCTTCAACCTGATCCTGGCTGATGTTCAGTTTGTGCCCATGCGCAACTCGGATCATCTGTTGCACAATATCGATTCCAGTTATGCACTCTGTGATGGGATGCTCGACCTGAGAAAAAAGTTGACTGGGGGTCAATATAACTTTACCTGCAGGCGAGTATTCATTTCGAGGAAATAGAAGTTTCTCTTGGAATCCACCAGCCATTCTACGGTTCCGGCGCTGTCGTACCCCACCGCTTTCGCCAGTTGAACGGCTAAAATGAGATAGAAAACCAAGGCGAAGCGAACACACTTTGTTCCCCCATCTTCTTGCGCATTTCAGGCGTAACGAACGATGATGGTGCTTCCTCAATCACCTTCTGATTGCGACGCTGGATCGAGCATTCTCTCTCGTTGAGGTAAAGGGCATTTCCGTGCTTGTCAGCTAGCACCTAAATCTTTAATTGAAGCAGGAACGCATCGATAAAACAGACCTGCACTTCGATATGTCTCGGATTGTCGATAAACTTTTCGACCAACATGCGATCATCCGCGAATGATGAGGCAGCCTCTTGCTTCGACAGTCGGTAGCCTTCGCGAGCTTCCTAAATTTCGGTAGGGCATAAAAGGCGTTACTGTTACCTTGTCATTCCAAGCGACACGCATTCCCTTGCCACCGCCGCCAGCAGATGCCTTGATCATCACAGGATACCCAATTTCGTTCGAAATCTTGACGCAGTGCTCCTCGTCAACGATCTCTCCATCAAATCCAGGAATCATGTTTACACCAGCTGCCGATGCTATCTTCTTAGAGTGAATCTTGTCGCCAAGATCTTGGATGGCTTTTGAATTGGGCCCGATGAAGATCACGCCATCGCGCTCGAGCTCGGCCGCAAATTTGGTGTTCTCGGAGAGGAAGCCGTAACCAGGATGGACAGCCTGAGCTCCAGTCTGCCGAACAGCGTCGAGAATCCGATCCGCACGAAGGTAGGAGTCCGCCGTGGGAGCTGTGCCGACACAAACAGCTTGATCAGCCAACTAAAGTATTTTTAAGTAGATATACCATTGTAAAGCATGGAAGAGAACAGCCAGAAGCCAATAAACGCATGAAGGTGGTGTGTAATACCTTGACATGAAGTGAATTGCTGTCAACGTCCGAATGCACGGCCACGGTTTGAATGCCCATTGCTTGCGCAGTCTTGATGATACGACATGCGATCTCTCCACGGTTTGCAATCAAAATTTTCTCAAATTTCGACTCGGAGGGGTTGATGGGGTCCGTGACGTAGATACTGCGGTCCTCGCGTCGATCGACCCTGAAAAAGTAGGCTGATAAACTGTTTCTTCAGCTGAAATGCCTGGGGATTGAGCCAATTCCCAGGCATTTCCGCAGTCATACCAAATACAATCCAAAACAATATAAAAATAAAGTAGAAAACTCACGGAGACTGTCGTGCAGCGGCAACATATCGAAAGGAGCCGTAACTCGTGTTGATGAAGCCAACACGGTTCAGCAGCCTCATCGCTGCCCTGAAACGGTGAACTGTAGCCAAAATAATAAAATAAAAGAAGAGAATGAGGAGGTAACCAAACAAAACGCCAAAAAGTCTAGTAGAAATAGAAGTAGAAATTCTTATTGTTTTTCATGGTTCGCATTTGTTACAGGTTGTTTTTATTTGGGCCCTCAAAAGGGTTCATTGTCTTGGTGTCAAGGGGCGTCGCACGTAGGCTATCGACAGACCAGGCGATTTGGACCTTCGCGATTTCGCATCCACATGGATTACCGTAATAATGATAAAACATTAGGGCATTTAATCTTGCCGTTATTTATATCTCATACTAATGATATTAATACTTGCTATAACCCGCCATGGCCACCTCTAAATCAAAAGACCCAAGCCCCAACATAGGGCCCAAGTGATTTTCTATTCATGGAGAGAATTGAGGATTTATAGGAATTGCTAAAGCAACAGAAGCATAACTTTTCAATTTTGATGAGTAATCTAACCCCAACAACGTCATCGCTGTTTGAATCTCGTTGCACTCGCTTCTAGCCCGCGCACACAGGGTGCGAAGATCTGTGTGCCAAATTCTCATCCTGGGTTCGGAAAGATTTTCTACTAAATGAAACGTTCTCCAAGCACAGAATCAATGCTGCAATGTATCAAATGCGCAAAACCGTAACAGAATTAGCGATGTTCTTACAGTAATGTCTGTTCTTGCTCCAGTTCGGCAGGAAGACAGTAGACTAGTCCTCGACGCTGCAAATCATTTCGTCTCATCATTACGATCTCTGTTGCATTGAAGGAGTAGTTCTAGTTTTACCTGTCCTCCATCACGGATTTACTAGCCGTAAGAAAGGAAAAATGGGGGAAAAAGAGCACTCCATATCTCGTAGATCTTTGCTCAGATGCCGGTTCCAAGCCATGAGCTGGAATCCATTTTGACCCTCCCGATCCCAAATTTCAGCTTGACCTAAAGAAGGATTTCCCTAAAACATCGTTTTGCTATTTTGCATGAGTGGAATATATTTGCCCTTTCTCTCGGTGATTCATAGAACGCCTGATAACCCTATGATGCGTGGCTCCCTCGTATAGTGGTGCTCAAGATACAAACCTTCCCTTACTTTTTTTTTTTTTTTTCCTTTACGAATTTCCTCCTGTGTGGACAATTTTTAGCCTTTGCACCTGCCCTCGCAACGAATCATTATTATAAAAGTAAAATTGAGCCCCCCGTTTTTCAAATTCTCCAAACTATACTGCGATTTTAACCTGACGGCTTCACTCCTCTAACGGGCGTGCGGACCAGCGGGTTCTTTTTTTTTGTTTGGCTAGGTAGCTAACTGACCAGCCCGCACGACCCTTCGGCCCTTTTGTTGATTCAACGCCCGGGATAGGTGAATGGTCATCGATTTCCACCCTGTAGCGCTTGTCCGCCACGAATTTTCATCGGCTAATCGTGCCGCGAATATTTTTGCCAAACTGTTTCCCTCGTAATAAAACGGGCTCGGAAAAAAATCGTAGGATCTCCTTTGAGTCAGTGACCCGTGCAAATCGTTTCTTCATCTCTGTGACGTGTCAACGGGCTGTATTGATTCTGCCTCGAGCCGTTAGTTCGCACGATTGCCGTTTGAAATTCCAAAATTTGGGAAAGCTTTTTAGATTTTGGCATTTTTTCAGCGAGATGGCATCCGATTTTGGAAATCCGCTCAAGAAGTTCAAGCTGGTGTTTTTGGGAGAGCAAAGTGGTGAGTCGTGTAAAATAATTCCTGACCTTAAAAAGAGAAAATTTAAATTAATATTTATTTTAAACAGTATGAATAAGAGAAAATTGATAATTAGTTCACGACGATTGTTATTTTAGTGGGTAAGACTTCATTGATCACACGCTTCATGTATGACAGCTTCGACAACACATATCAGGCTACGATAGGAATTGACTTTTTGTCAAAAACGATGTATCTGGAGGATCGCACGGTAAGAGTGAAAATGAAGTGCTGATGACAAGAATTCAGGTTCGTCTTCAATTGTGGGACACTGCAGGGCAAGAGCGTTTCCGGTCATTGATTCCGTCTTACATTCGTGATTCTACTGTTGCTGTTGTTGTTTATGATATCACGAGTGAGTTGTATAGATTTATTATTATCATTAAAATGGACGCTTGATTTTAGCGCCGAGTGATTTGTTAACAATTAGAATTCTGTTGAAAAAGAAATGATCTTATCTTTAAAGCAACACTAATGATGTTTTAGATGCAAACTCATTCCACCAGACCTCAAAATGGATTGATGACGTGCGAACCGAACGTGGTAGCGACGTCATCATCATGTTGGTCGGGAATAAGACCGATCTTTCAGACAAAAGGTAGGTGAGAATAATATAACCTGAATTAAAACCAATTTGTAAATCAATTTATAATCCCAAATTTCCAGGCAAGTTACTACCGAAGAAGGTGAGCGCAAGGCAAACGAATTGAACGTGATGTTCGTCGAGACCTCTGCAAAGGCTGGCTACAATGTGAAACACGTGAGTAAAACAGCCTACAAAATTTACCAAACGTTTAGCTGTTCCGCCGCATCGCATCCGCTCTCCCAGGAATGATCGAGAACCACGATAATCGCTCTGATAGTAAGTTACCCTCAAAACGGTTACCACCTTTTCCTTAAATTACAGCTAAAACGCATGCTTACTTCTGTATTTTTCCTATAATATTCTCAGCACTAAACAGCACGTATTGGTTGTGTCGTGTGTGGCTCTGGCTATGCGTTTGTGACTTTAGATCCGACACCAACCGTCGTTTTGCCGAACGGCGCCAAGGAAGGGGAGACCGCGTCCGCATGCAGCTGCTGAATTTTATAGCTTCACCGTGATTTTTTCTATTCTTTAAACTTTAATGTTTTTACCGTTAATGGTTTTAGTAGTGGTGTGGTCTGTAATTGAGGTTTTTCCCAAATTAATCAGATTTAAAAGTTATAACTTCAGCTTTCTCTATTTCACATCGTTACGGTGATTTTCTCTATTTTGTTTATTTCAACGGCGAAGTTAGAATGTTTCTTTGGAGGACATTGTATTTGATGTGGAGTGTACATAAGGTTTACCCACAAATTCACCAAATTTAAAATTCTCTGCAGCTTTTCGGCATTTATGAAAACAAAAATTTTAACATCCATTTACTATAAAGAAGCATGTACTATCGCACCTTTCGAAAGTATTTAGCTATGTGCTCGCTTGCGATGAAAAAGCCCGGGTTCGAACCCGCCCGGAGCTTGCTTTTTGCGCTAAAACTCAGATTTTCAGCTGTCATTTAACGCAACCACTTTCCCGATTCATGCTTAACTCATAAAAATTACACCTTTAACATTGGACGAAGATTTTAATATAACTATTTTCTATCGATTTTAATCCCATTATTTTTCAGCCGCCCTCGTCAGTATCGAACCAATCAAGCAACGTCAAATCGTCACAGATGATGGAGCCTGCTGGTGCTAGGCCGTTTCAAAAATCCGAAGCCCAATCTCCCCCCTTCACTCTCAACCAACATCCAGCAGCTTCTTGCTCCCCGGGGGTTACCATCCAGTGTTGTTTCCCCCCTATTTATTATTAGCATCGATTTTGAAGATTTTTTTGCGTTGATTTACATAATGGTTTGGTATATGGGATCACAGTTGCTGCTTTCTAATTTAATCGATATTTTTTGGGTATGTTCTATTTGAACCTGTTTACGATTGCTTGCGCAAGCCTTACTCACCCTCCCCATCTCCAGTCTAATCACCCCCCGAAATTCCCTTCATCCCCCGCAAAATTGATGTGATTTCCGAATTGGATGTGCTGTTGTGTGGTTGGAAAAGGATTATTTGTCAATTCTGCGTGTATGCGTGTGATTGTCCGTGTTTTCTTCTTCTTCCCCGTCTCCGGCTATCAAGCGCTTGATAAAGATGATGAATGCTTGGATATCTACGGAGAGACCTTACACAAAAATAATATGTATTTATAACCGGTCGGAAAGGACAGGTCAATATGGTCATGATGGGTATTCCGGGGATTCGTAGCTGGAACGATTCGATTAATGATCTTTTTGGAATTAACAAAGCGATTAATGCCTATTTAGCGCTAGCGTTGCCGATCTATACTAGCTTCCTAACAGGCTTTTGGTATATTTTTTGATTAAAAGGATCGCAGCCAGTAGATTGCCCCTTCACCAAGTGGGGCATTACCATTTACGAGATCAAAGGGGTGTTTGGGCAGAAGCTGTCGAGCAGTTCAGATGATAGATATATCACAACGGAGGGGATTGATGGTCTGGGATCAGTTTTAGAAGTGGAATTAGGTATCTTAAGTGTTAATTAGGCCGCAGCGGAATTCATATCCATAGTAAGGGCCTGTACAATCCACGGGTCTGCTTTCGAGCCTTCTTTGAATTCTTCCCGCGTTAGCATCCCGTCCAAATTCTGAAAGTGCCGCACTTACAAATTTTTTTAGGTTTACGATCCCTTTGATAACAACTAAAGGTGTAAGGTAATACCGAAAATAGGATAAAAAAACAGCTTCTTCACCCACCTTATCCATATTTGCAAAAATTTTCTCCACGCGTTTCTGCGGCGTATCCTAAATATTTGAATATTCCGCATCGGAATCCGCGCCCACCTCGTCCTTGGGGGAGCTCCAACATGTTCCCAATCATTGAATA